TTATTATTATTATATATGTTTTATAAAAATTCAAGGTTCATTGTGAATCGCGAAATACTGGTGACAGCGCTTGGTATCTATGGCTTAGTACAGAATGAAACGAATGCTGAGGGCAGCGAATGGGAAACGACCGTTGACGTTGAGGTTTATATATGTATATATAGCATTCCAATCAATAATTTATTTTATTATTATATTTATTACTGATAATTCTTATCAAAGACTCTCCAGAAACTTCCCGGGTTTGTAGAATATTGTTACACCGGTAAGGCATCTGCACTTGCTGTTTGTGACCGTTATGATCTCTAGAATCTTCCGAATGATGTCTGGTTTGCATTGCAGTGGCATCAGCTAAAGAGAGTGTGTGCATTCTTATCTCCAAAGACCAAAGTTTATCAACTATGTGAAATACTTTCAATAATTAAAAACTGGAGTTTTCCAAACAAGTCATTTACAAAATACCGTCATACACTTGAAAACCTGCCTATATTTTAATGCTAATGGCTATGTTCCATGTTATATTATAAAGTGAATTACTGTTAGTGGAATAGGAATCATTTTGTAAGTTTCTAAAAAAGGGACTTTGAAAAGAAGCCAAGTGGGAACGATGCAATTATTTCTTCGCAGATCACAATTATAATCTTGTTCCTCATTGCAAGGACTATATTCGGTACGAAGTAAAAAAGCATACTATTTTGATAAGCGTGTTCGAATCAAATTTTTTCTTTTTACTTTGCAAGTTAATTTTGGCAGCTTCTATGCCTAATACATGTGGAGAAACTGCCTCTGCCGTCTTCATTTTATGAGTTTGAAATTATCTTTCCCTTAGAAATGTGAATATTTGGTAGGTAGCAGCTTCTGGTCAAACAAAGGCAACTGATTTTGCATCTGTAACGTTGAAAGGTACCTATGGTGATGGACGCGCGTTTATTGCACATTTTAAAAAACCCGCACGAATTGTCGCAAATGTGCCGTATAGAGCAACAGTGATATTCAAGGTTTAGTTTTTCAACTTTTCCTTTGTTCAAGGTGCAGAAATCTAAACTTGTAGTTACAGTTGAATATATCTTGACATATTTGAGATTGTTTTATTTGCATGAGATTGATTTCATTAAATCTACCACCCTCGTTATTCAAACTAATATAAAACACTTTGTTTTTAGGAAGAAGTTGAAACATTTGCGGGAGGCAATGGTCAGGAAGATATCCTTGTTTACGTTGGATCCGGGGGTACGGTTGAACAAAATTGTACCGGTACTACTCCAGCAGTTGACCAGTCTTCCGTAGCAGTGTTCGCCTTTCACAACGATGATCCAAATGGTATACGTCGAGGTATGACACGTGGTCCTGCTGTGTACACCGATGCTATCGGTATGATCCATATGTTTCGGACGGATTTGTATTTGTCCCTCTACTTTGCACCTAGTTATCGAAAAATTCTGTTTGCAATGTGTTCAATACTTGGCAAACTTTTCAGGAGGTTTTTACAATCGGCCTACCAATAATGTTGCACCAATACATTCCGAAGGATGCCTTTACGAAGGACAAATTCCAGAAATTCATTTTATGGCACCAGTGGAAGTGAAAAAGGAAGTTTCAGATGTGTGATGGTTTGAAATTGAAATGCTTTTCAAATTATTATTTGTTTTTCTAATAACACTGCTCTAAACGCTTAGTGGAGTAGTGATGGATGCATTTTCTGGATGGGAAATCTCAAGTTTTCATGCTTGTTTACCTGTCAGTAAAGTTTCTCTCCCTCCAAACTATAAAATTTTTGTTTCTGTCGTGTCATTCAAATAAACTACCACATCAGTTTGTTTCATCATTCTGAGCCATGTTGTTATCTTTTAGGAATCCTTTTTTGCCCCCTGAATAATTGTTAAGTATTCTTCGAGACGCTTACTGTTCCCTCCAGTGACTTGCTGTATTAGACACTTTTTTTTCTTTTTTCACCACTGACATTTCTACTGTTTCAGTAGTTATTGAATCATAAGAATTTTATTAAATTCGTCATCAAAATAAATTTCTGGAGGTTATGCAAAGGCTAGTAAGAGATTATATCGAGTTCCAACGTTTTGTTTACGAATAATTGCTAAAGATTAGGTCAAGTAAGCACTTTGGGCATGTGACATTATGGATGGAGCAGTTAAATCATTGGCAGTGATTGATATCATTTTATTAGAATTTTACTATTTTTGTCAAATCATGTTAATGTCGGTAATATGGAATTTTTCAAATTATGAATTACATTTAGAAAGTATAACGATAAATTTTTCCCCTTTGTGCAGATCAGATTTAATAAGGCGCAAAGACCTCTAAAATTGCAACTGTGTTGTAAAAGAGATTGGAATGCATGTCTCTTTTATAGATTATGTCTAAAAGATGTGAAGGCGAAAAATCATTGGAGTTTAGGCTCCACAAACGTTGTTTTTCTGATGTCCATAAAGAAGTTGAGAAGTTCCGATTTTAATTTCATTCCTCACCCTTACAGCAGTTAATATTTTCACTTTTTGATTTGGTCCTTATGTTAATTGGATGGAAACTGTTTTAAGTGAAAGTCATTTTTAAGGGATAGAGCTATTTGTTCTTATTCTTTGTCTGTGCAGAGTTCAATCCAAATCACCACTTGACTCATTTTCTTATAAGAATCATTGAAGTCATTTGCTGTATCACACTCCCCTTAGATGTCAAATTTTAGCTGTAACTTGAGCATCAATATTGAACAATGATATGAGAGTGGTTTAAATGCAGGAGCCTTGCTAGCATATATGTTGCGATTAACGCGGTGGTGCTGGAAGGGATGAGAAGAGAAATTCACAATGTGTGAAATAAAATTCATAGAATAGCAAAAAGGCCGCAAGGGAATGTTTATTTTCCTCTAGGAAATGTTGTTGTTCTCACAAAGAATATTTAATCCAGTCAGCGAAGCGGAATGGTTTGTAATCGAATTTCGGACTTCAAAGATTGGAAATTTATCCGATTTGATTCATATGGTAACATCCCTGGCTTTCTCACGAAATGTTACTTTATGATGGTTTATAATTTCAGAAGATAATTCTTGAATTACATCTCAAAGTTTAGCGAGAAAATATCCAGTCCTTTTTCTACATAGCAAATTAGATTAAAGAGATTTGAAGTCGTAGAATGATTTATATTCCATATTGAAAATGCGTAAATCAAATATTGAAACTAAAAGTTGACAATAACACAATTCGTGAATCATATTCATTTGGAAGAAATAAATGCAAAATCTTCCTCCTTTAGAGTTTTGACTGTTCGTAATTGTTCACTTTCAAAAAGTCTGAAAATAAATATCTTGAAATACTAATTAGTAACTGAAAATGATTTGTTGAAATATAAAATAAGTTGAACCATGTCATATTATCATGTTTGTTAGCATCATCAGACCTTTGCTAATGGAACTGATATTTCGCAATGGAAAATACTGATATGAAAAAGTGCATGTGACGATAGGTATTCACATGTTTGCTTTGTCCACTTTGTTACAAAAACTACAAAATATAAAGACGATAAAGCAAGGAGAACTTTACCTTTTCAGACGTCTCATTTCCAATACTGATCCTTTGCAGTCATCTCTTCCCGCGCAACAAAAAATTTTAATGGCTTCGGCTGTGTGTAAGTATTCGACTGGTATCGCCAGATTGTACAACTCTTTGATCAAACAAATCTGTAAGTTCTCTTTTGTGATCTGAGTTAACTTTTTAAAATTCAGCAGCTGTCATTCATCTCTTAAAATTTTAATGTTTTTTTTTTTCAATTTTTTCTTCAACATGACCGTGACCGAATTCAAACAGTTAAATGCAGAAAACAATTAAACATTGGCAAGTCTGTGACGTTCAGTCTTCCTCGTCAATGACAGAGCACATCCGCCTTCCACCTTTCCATTCTTCATATCGGCAATATAGTAGCAAACAACTTTGTGACCGCTTGCCAAGAGACACAGATCACGCTTACCATCTAGTGACAAGCAGTGTTCCCGTGTCTGCAAAAATGACGTTGACTTTTTCAGTGTTATGGAAAGGAATGGAAAACTTTCTTACATTATGAACACGTGATACGTGAAGAAATCTCATGCAAATAGTGACCTTTGGTTAATAAATTCTAGTAATTTATAATGATAATCGCAAGTACATGTACAATTGATGATTTGTGCTAAAGTATTGAGGATAATTTTTACTTTTTCTTTTCGCTTTTGTAATTTAAATATTATTCAAATTAACCTGAAGATTTTTTTTGGTATAATATACGTTGGTTTTCTCGATATGATATTTTTCGCTTATAAAATTACATGGCTTGTCAACAATAGAGGAGCAGCAACAAACCGTTGATACTTCTCCTTCAAATATAATTATTAGTGTTGTTACTATTGGTGATAAAACTCACAACAAACCATTTCCATCCTTCAATATTGAATTGTTAATTCTAGTTAATATTTAGTAGTATTTTGTGGATGTTCATTCTTCAGAACTCCAGATTTCTAGCTGTGACATACCATGGTACTTCTATCGATTTCACAATCTTATTAAAATGTTATGAATCGTACTACTATCATTAGTTATTACAGCGAGAGTAACCTATCACAAGAGTATTTGAAAGATAGAGAATAACCATCATCCTGTTTTATCATGAAACAATATGCAAACATCGTATCATTGGAATACCGAATTGGGGTCTTCAATCTGTGAGAACATATTTTCCCCGGTGGAAGCTTCTTATTTTCTAGCATAAAATCGCGTACATTGATGAAGTCTATAATGTTGATATGATAGTAAATATGGGAGGAGTAAAATGTTAAAAAGGAAAATCTTATTTAGCAAAATAGCAAGAAAGTAAAATGTTATTTAAATGAAATCATACAAGAACTGATAAAAAAGATGAGAATGATATGATAGAGTTGGGGGATTCATTTAGGGTTTGAGTTCTTTTAGAATTTCAAATAATGTGCACAATTTCTTGTGTAGTTTTCCTTCAAAAGAATATTTGAAAATTAACCGAGGCCTCGACCATATGTTTTCTCGTAACACCATGTAGTTTCCAGTGATCGATTTTGGGTAACTCTTTGTTCGATGTAATCTTTTAAATAACACAATCTACCATACTGAAGAGTTAATGATGATAAGTACAGTTATGATCATTATAATGTGATAGTGACAGTAGATTTAGATGAAATATTTACATTTCGAAACGAGGTAAGGTATTACATTTGGAATGTTTTAAAGCAAGCAGATAAATCACTGCTGCGATGACTGATGAATCAAATCCTTAAATCAGCTCAGTAATAAGATGAGTTCAAGTTTTGGTTTCTTAACTTTCTCTTAAGAAGTTTTTTCATGATTATTAGCAATCGCAACACGAAATATTTTTGCAAGATGGAAATTAAATGAGCTATAAATGTTGCAGAATATATTCCTATAATTAACTGGTGTGTGTGTGCTTAGCTGATTTCAGTAATGATATAATCATTACAATGACACCAGGCGGCTTTGGTTACTTTAAAACAGCTTAGCTAATTTGGTATAATTGAGTATAGAATCGATAAAGAAAATAAAGTGGACTTTGTTTTGGTAGTAGTTAAAGTAATGAGCTCGATATCTGTCAATTCTTTCAACTAAAGTGGCATCGCATCTCGGCTCCATATTTCCATCACATTTTAGTACCCCAACTGTCCAAGCTTTTGCACCTTTTGTAATTCGATTGATTTGTTCTTTGCTGGCATTAACTTCGGTACAACATTTGGTCCACGCTGTAATCACATCCTGAGAACTCGTTGCCGTATTTTGATGTGACAGTGATCTGGCGTCAATTTACATTTCTTATTTCCAATTCCATTTTATAGTACATCTGTTGGGTGACATTGCACAGCATGTTAAATAGAAGTTTTGAAATCTGATGAGTTGTAGTAAACTTAATAACGGTGAAGTAAAATACTTCAGGATATAGGAAGATAGAAAAGAGGGAAAGAAGACGATAAGGGAAGCAAGGAATACTGTAAGCATTCTTGAAATATTCTTCATTTCCTTACAAAAGAATTGCCTCTTTTTCTGCACACATCTTTGAATTTTTTTCTCTTAATTCTTTTAAAAAGAATGCTACTTATCAGTGATCGTTCTCAAAATAAATTATTTGAAAAAATAAAAATTCGTATTGAACAATCCTTCTCGAATATATGAAAAAGAAATGTATGACAAATGTTGAATATTTAATAAAATTGGCCAACATTTTCAGGCTAAAAATAATGCTTAGTAATGTTTGGCTTTGAGAAAAATGTTACAGTTCTTGAGGTTTTTGTATTGGAAGATGTCGGCTACAATCAATTCCTCTTTATTACCATAAATTTCTTCCGCTGAACTTTCAAATTCCATATTATAGCCTTAAACAAGAAACAAATATAATATAGCTATACTGTACTGAGTTTTTCCTAGTCTTCTACAACAAATTTTTCTTTTTAATTGCTTGCTTTTCTTTCTTTTTTTTCTTGTTTATGAATTTATGACAGGATTTTGGAGCTGAAAACTTCACTACCGTTGATAGTATTGGCAGATATAGCAAGAAGTTCTTCAACCAATTTCACACGTTACTTTACTAATTATCTGACAATTAATTATACCAACCGTATATGAGATTCAAAGGTTTCATCAGACTGAAATCATAGTATACGATGCAATTATTTGCGTAGATATCAGAGAAAAAGATATGTTGCATTGCATGCCGATGGGCGCACTTCGTCAGTTTATAGCTGTTGTCATTGTTGGCGCGAACACTTCGATCAAATTCCTTAGTTTCATTTCGAAATTTTTAAAACTCGAAAACTAATTTAGCATATTTAATAAGGAATTAAAAATGCTTTCAATGAGAGCATTGCTTACAGTTTTGATATTGCACATACTGTCTTCTCTGTTATCACAGCAGCACAACACCTGCAGCAAGATTTGCATTATCTTGTGGGGAAGTGCTGAAAGTCTAGAAATAAAATTTAGATTCGTATTTAAAAGTTATAAAAGACCACAAACTTTCTACTGCTTTTTAAGTCCGATTTTGATTTTCATGGTGGTTAGAGTTTCTTTAGCAGTAATTACCGTGTATATTAATGACTCTAGACTTTAACTGTTAAATAACCTTGAATAACTCATTCTAACTTGAATAACCTTAAAACTTCACATAATGATTTAAATTAGTTAAGTGCATTACCTTAATTTGACAAGTCTAAATGAAAAAGAAAAATGAAAGGAATATCTACAGTCCCTTGAATTTATATTATATCCAGTACAGAAAATCAACAAAGTCATCTTTCTATGGAAAAAAAGATTGAAGATTTAGATCCTCTAATCAAAAAGTTATAAGCGATCATTAACTATAATCAGGACAGATTCTTGTATCTCTGCTTATTTAGGAATCAGTTATCAAAAAAAAAGAAACAATTGATACCGTTAATGTCTGAGATACATTAACTGGAAAAGGCTCCATTAAAGGACACATCTTCAGACAGCTTTCAGTTGCAGAACATTGTGTCGAGCGACTCTTTGAGGTATACTGATAACACCGGCGGGTATTTCCAGTCTTTTTCGGTACACCATATGAAGTGCTAACCAAATGAATTGTTTCTTCATCTGTTATATTTATTTGAAACGATGCAAAGCAGCTCTGAATATAAACATTTGGAGGGACAGGAGCAGAGAAGAGAATGACTTGAATATTACAGGAAGGACAGGGACAGAGAAGGGAATGACCTGAATACTACAGGAAATTAGTTGAATTCTTTGATCATCCATATGGTTGATAATCATCGACTGTTCGCAACATTTAATTTAGGAAAATGTTAGCATTTTAGTGCAATAAATTGCTTGATTCTGACATAATTATACTTTATTAGTCTTTCGAAAGTGACCAAATATTAGCTCATTTCGGCTTACAGAGAAAGATACTGATGATTCGAATTAGGGAAGAGTTCTTCTTCAGCTATTAAAATTTCCTTAATATTTCCTTCTCCGTCAATTAGACATTGTAACCAATCAAATTTATCATAGCCTTCGATTTACCCATTAATTTCAGAATACGAAAACTCACACTTCCAATAGGCAAAGATTGAATTGTGGTGTTAATAACTTGCTCAGCGTCATTTACTATTTCTTCAGTTCCATTAGCGCATAAATGCACTTCGCCGTCTAATGGTATCGCACAATTATGCCGGGAACGCAAGTAGCAACAACAGTGCACTTCGTAATGACGATTTTTATATCGGATAATGCAATGTCCATCAGATATGAATTTAATCTGGATACAATAAGTAAATGATGACCTCTCAATGAAGTCACTTAAGCCTTCTAATAGATTAACGATTGACAAAGTTAGGTATGTATAGATGGCCACTAAATAAGGATGGTTAAATAATATTAGCTTTAAATGATTTCGTGGTCAGCTTGAAGAGGTCTACAAAAGAAAAATAAGGTAAGATTTGTTGAGCCGAAACGATAAGAATATTTTTGGAATAACTGCGTTCTGATTGCCGTTGACAACAGATTTTCAAAAAGTTTTCAAAATAAAAACAGATATGGAAAGAATACTAGGTTTACCTTTAGCTATATTAGGTTGCTGTTCTTTACAGAAATTCTTAGACCAAATGGACTGTTTCTCAAGAAACTGTTCTACGACTCATTGTTGATGGTTATGAAGCGATATATTTCTAAGGCCTAGTAAGTAACTGTGATCTATCGAAATTTCTTAAATCATTATAACCTTTATTGACCTCGGAAGGAGTTTGATCAGGTTTTGAACCATATCGGTATGGATTACATATCGTATCATATTTACCAAACACCTGCAGCAAATAATGATGGATAACAAATATTGATCTATTTATCAGTCAGTGCTACCTCCAGCATTCAGATTTCTGCGGAATAGTCACTATAAGATCTGAAGCCAAAAGTTACGCTTTCAGATTATTCAATCAAAAGACTCTAATCTCAGACATTACTGATTGTTTTTTCCTGATGCATTAATAAATAGTGATTGTTATTAATAAACACAGGAACAAATGCAATATTATCATCATCGTTGAATTTAAAAAGCAACTCTCTTTTTATCACTTATAAACTATAAAAAATAAATTTCTTTTAAATGAAATGAGGCTGAAACCCAATGCCTTTTCACGTGTAATTTGATCCAAGAATGCATAAATAGCAAATCCAGTGTAAATGCCCGTTGTTGAATAACTATCTAAGTGAAACATGCATGGAGCATAGAATGGATAACTGATTATCTAAATATGATAATAACAATGAGACATTATTTTATTTGATAGTAACGATGAGACATCGTTTTCTCCGATATGACCTTCTTACAGGACTAAGAAAATATCAATAAGATACTGATTTCTGCTCTTTCTCCAGATCTCAGTTTATTGTAGTTCTTTATTTCGAAAAGCTTTCAAACAAATCTTCAAAAATTTAGTTTTGAAACTTCAAAATTCTTAGCTTCTCTGTAGAAACTTCAATTTTCTTTGCAACCTTTTACGAACCTTGTGGACATTCTTAAACTTCTCCTCTATTCTTATCGCATATTTAAATCGCATATTTAGTTCATATTTAAATCGCATATTTAGTTCATACCATTTAAATATTTTGAAAATATCTATACGAAATGAAATTTCGGCGAAATTTTTTGTTTCTTAGTTTAGCTGGCAGAAGATAAAAACCTGATTGGAATACAGGCCAGGGCATGAAAACCAGGTTTGTGGGGAGAAATTCGGATACTCTTCGCACAAACCAAGATTCTTGTTTGTTCGGATACATATGCCTTTCATCATAAATAAAATTTTCAACGCCAATAACTGCATTTTTTTGTCCAACTGAAAAACTATTTTTAGTGATCAAATTTGATTTCACTAATTCCACTCATATTATTAAAAACAAATTTGTGATTATGAATCTCCTGAATGTTTACAGATTAGAAAGGATAGAGTTTATCCCAAAAAAGTTTAGAACCCGAAAACTTATGAGGACTTCAATAGGCTTGTACTAATTAAGGAACAAAATCAGGCAATTAAAATTTCTTGCAATCAAAATTTGTAAATAAGTGGAAAAAAGTTTACATTGTTTTTTTTGCGAAACAATGTGCAAGTAGTGCAGCACATGAAGAATTGACTGCGAATCTTTTCATGATTCTCCTGGAGAATTTATGGTTATTTTGGGGTGGGTTTTGATCATTTCACTTCTTTCTGATCCTTTGTACTACGTATTTTGCTTTTTATCAGAAAATTTCAAAAACTGTCAACAATTATAGGATGAAAGATGCAAATACATGAAAAAAAAAATGTCGCACTGCAAGATAATTCATCATTCCAAACTGAAGTTGTTCTTTTAGTTCACAATAGCCATCCATTATCATTGTTTGTTGTTCGTCACTTCTTTGAAAGAGTTCACTTTTGAAATCTATAAAATTTCTCGCCATAATTAAAGAATAAATAGTATGCAGAACTGAAATGAACGAGCAAACAGGGAAGCTAAAAAGTACAAGTGCTACACAAAAATACTATCATTCACATTTTACGTCCCTTATAACTTTTACATTTCCATTCACTGTTAGTCTTCTTTATTTAATTTATCCCTTATTTATCGATTCTACAAATTTTTGCTCTTCTAAATTAATTAATTATCCCTTAATCTTAAAGTAGTTCCATGACCTTTCAATACTCAATATCGCAAGAGAGACATCATTTTTTGTCGTTTCCATCAGTTTTCCGCTCAACGCTTAGTAGAACTAGGCATAAAATTCAGAACTGTTAACTTTTGAAAAGAACTAAATTACATATTGAAAGTTCTTCATGTCGTTGTAAATTGCCTAATTAAATTGAAACCTTCTTCATTGCTAGGGAGTGTGATAACAGCGCTACAGTAGATTTCCTTTGTCTTTCCTTCATTTTTCCCAAAGAAACAATAATCTTCTTCTTCGTATCCTGCAACTTTTAAAGATCTCTTTGTATTTGTGCTTATGAGGGTATAATATCACACCAATGAACTCTTAATAGTTAACTGATTCTTCTGATATCATGAAAATGTGGAGATGAAGTTAACATCAATAAGTCGACAAAATGAATTCTCAAGACAGAATTTTATGAACCAAAAAATTTATTAAACTGCAGATCATGACGAAAATCTATTATAAAAAAGTCCAAATCTGTCAACAACAGTTGGCAACATTTTGAATATGATGACAACTAACCAGCCGTATGAATCAGGAGACAAATAGTTATGATCACCTGCAACAGAAGCGACATCTCCGCAAAAATGATTGAATCCATCCTTGAAATATGAATTTATTAAACAATAACTATGTAAATCCATCACCAATATGCAGATTCATTGATTCCATATCTAAATTTTCAGAGTCAAAATTTAAAGAGACAATGATTTTTTTGGATGAGTTTATTTAACAGATCAATTGGGAAGTAGAAGTGGAAAAAAATGAAAATTGGGAAAGTCTCAAATAAATAAGAGCAAAATGTGCAAGTGATAGTTACGTTAAGATAAATTTAAAACTTGCATTAAAAATCAATTTCAAATCTGTTTTTCCATAAAATTTGTCTTCGTTCATTTGAGGAAATGATAAAAGGAGAGATGAGATTAGTGGAATATGATGTAAAGAAGATAAATGAATAAGAATCGCGCAGCCAAGGAGAAAAAAAATTCAAAATGAAAAAACGGTAAATCGTAAATTGTTAACTGTCATTTCTTTTCACTAGCAAATGTGACATAAGCACTTGCAGTGCAGGATTTCCCTAATAACTGCATGTTGTATGTTTACGTCAACGATCAACTGAAGTTATTTCATTGAATATTAAAAAAAAAGAAAAGTCAATTTAATTAATGTAATTTTAACAGTCGGAACAAATTTACATTAGAAAGATGAACCAGATGTTGATATTCTCCAACATACGACATCAGATTCTTCAGCTTCGACATTGATACATCGCAAACCTTGAATGACTCAGGTTTGCTGAGTGAAAATAAAAGACTGAGAAGGAGTACAACGAAAATGACAAACTGATTCGGCGCATGGAAGATTTAGAATATTCAGGAAAGAATGAAACGAATGGATTGCTCAATTAATGGCTCCAAGTTTCATCTTTCGTTATGAAAAATACCAGTATCAATAACTGGATCGCATTTCATATAACTGATTTCCTATTTATAGTAGCGGTAAATTATAGAAGGTCTGATTAAATGGGAATATCAAACAGCATCTTTTGTGATTTGCTGAATATTCATTTCCATTGTAAAACGACATTCATCCTATAATTCGTCTTATAATTTGTTTATTTTGTAGAATATATGCAAACTATTATTGCAATAACTTGAAAGTGGTGGATGAGAAGTTGAAGTTGACCTGTCGCATGTGACCCATTCACTTTGTCCAGTAATAACTTAGGTGAAATGAACGAACTGGAAAGTGCAAGGTTCAGAAAGTTTGTGAGAGATGGGGTTTTATCAACTGAATTTGTTATATTCGACAAAGTAATAGTTAAGAAAGATAATATTTGAAGAAAACTGAACTTAGTCAAAAGTGGATTGGTTTCTTGTCTTCCCTTCCACCATTCATTCAAATTCTTTCAACGAGTAAAGGGATAAGTTCCATAAAAGTCAATACGGACAAAAACGCCACTTCGGAATCTGTGGCTTCATCCTCTTAATTTCGGAACAAACCATGAAATCTCTGCTTACAATTTTAATACGCTTATACATACATATACCTTTGCTTCTTGCTATGATGCCAAGAATTTAAGTCATTTTATTAAATATTTTGTTAGTTGAAATAACTTTCGACTAGTAAACGATCATTCTGAACGGAATATTTCAAAAACATTTATACATAATTTTTAAATGAATTTCTTCTGATATCAAACCACTGTTATTAGGAAATCAAGTTGCCGAACGTTACCTTTTGTAAAGAATAATCGTTGTCATGAAATTGTCTTGAAATTTATAGTAATGAAGTTTACATATTTTTTCTGAAAACTTTTTCTACAAACATACTGAAATCCTTCCTCAAGTTAGCCTTTGACTTTGTTTAGTGTACTTTCATCGTATCATTAATTACATTCTATAGTTTTTCTTTCGGTTTTGACTCACTCAAAAAGTTGATTTTCTCGTTGAATTTGAAAAAGCTTTTTTAATTTATCTCAAGTGTAGAATAAATTTTCGCCATTTTCAGTGATAGTTTTTTTGTTACATTATTTTGATAGTGATGAAATGTTTCAAGAATATATGGTGAAATGTACAATAGGATCTAAGCTTGTCCAATAAAACTGAAAGTTTCAAAAATCACAAACAAATGAATAGCCACAACAAAATAACTTTACAGATCAAGCTTCGTTGTCACCGACACAGAAGTAAAAGTATATGCGACAAGGAAAAAAAAAGCCTTCACACTGCAATGAATGACACACAAATGATAACTTAACAGTACAATTGATATGAAATTTCGAAAAAATTTCTTTATATTCTCTGTCCTTTTTTTGCCTTCAGCCAGAATCGCATTGAGAAACAAAAATCAGTGATACTAACAAGCGTTGATGAACAAGCGTTGAAACAAGCTCAAACAAGCGTTGAGCGTTGACAAGCGTTGAACAAGCTTCAGTTAAGGATGGATTGATTTTGAGCGGAAGATGGCTTTTTGCGCATCTTCGTAATATTCCAATATTGAATTCCCTGAAAATGATATTCCAAGTGAAATGAGCAATACATTTGCGTTCAGTACAGTACAAGGTATCAGAGATGTCTTTTAGTCCTTGTACGATCGTTATTCATTCCACGTGGCATTTCCTTCAGACCTCTCGTCGCAATTAATGCTTGCAAAAATTGGTGCAATGAAATTTGGCCGTTCATTACAGAAATCATCAGTATTACTTGCAATCGCCGTTACCGCACATGCATTGCATAATGGGGAAAAGAAGAGAAGGTGGGTTAAACAGGTAATAGTCTTTTCATCGTCATTGTCTTAATTATTGAATTTCTAGTTTGTGGCAGCACTTCTAGACAATCATTTTGCTCATTAACCGTTTGACAAATACTTTTCTTTTCGCGGATTAATTTCTTTGAACTGATAGAATTAATAGAAAAAAAGCTCTCATCATTTTATTGATATCAAATTCTTTCTCTCTTCTTAAATTTCCATTGTTTCAATAATTGCTAACAGAATAATACTGTAGAAATGACATTTAACAGAAAAAACTCAGAAATTTAATTCTAATTTCTAAGAGATGTGCAGTGATTAGATGAAACTTCTGTTAACCAAATATGTTTTTCTTCTTGTATCAGTGGAGTATAGTGATGAAATAGGAATCAGAAGGTACTTTTCACAATGATCCCTTTTCCTAATGTTTATTCCTTATGAAAAGTTCTTTCTTGACCCCGTTTCCTACTGTAAATTGCTTATTATTAGCAGGTATTTGCATTCATAGAAATGATAATCATCCTTTATTGGTTATGGTCATTATACTATCAGCAACGTTATTCTTGGACCCTTTCGATCGAATTAATTAATGGGTTAGTTTTCAGATTATTCGGGAAAACATTGACTTGAAAAAGGTTAAGAGGTTAATCGAGTTGGGTGATTATTCAAATTTGGTGGAGGGTTGGATTCAGCAATGGGTATCAAAAAACGGTCAAACCCGAGCAACGAATTTTGGAGCCTTTATAGTTTTGCCGACAGAGTTGATATTCAGGTGGATAATCTTTTATTCTTTAATATGTCTTTTAACTTACTGATTCTAACCACATCATTTATAAACTTCTCATTTATGAAAGTTGCTTTTTTTGCTTAAGCATAAATTCTCTTAAACATTTGACCTTATCAGTTGGGAAGTAACTGTGTCAAAATTACTGCATTATCAGTTTTACAGCTAATGATAATTGGACTGGTTCTGGCACTTGTTCAAGCTATTCTTCTACCCTTTGTATGGCTTGTGATGGGCGATTTCGTCTCACTTTCCATCGTTCGTGAGGTTAAACATAGTTTTTAATATCAATATGAAATCCGATTTGGCAAATCAATATTACATGAATATCTCAAAAATTCCCCAGAATTCCTATTGCTCAGAGAAAAAGCAAAGTAAAATGCTTGAAAGGAATAGCGTTTCTAAATTCGGTAATTAGCAATTTGCGCTATACCGCAATTATTTTTTCCATTGCAATTTGGCATATACAACATTCCATGTAGATTTTATCGATGTTTTTACAAAACTGGAAATGACCTTCAACATGAAAGTATCATAAAGTACTCAGACCTTTACTTTGAGTTGCTCTACTGCGAAATCCTTTCTCATTTCAACAGCTTTATACAAGTAGTCAATGATGCGCAAAAATCTTGTCTCCTCAGTATTGCTGGTTCAAGATGTCCCTTTCACGTAAATTCACGTTAAATTCACGTCTATGATGTTCATGAATATGGATGGAATAGTCACATTCAAACTAAATATGAGAAATGATACAATGACGTCATCCCTTGCATATATTTGACAACATTTATCAGAAATTAATATTGTTTCATCTTTTAAGAATGGATGTGCAAAACTTTCAAGCCAATCGTTATGTTATATTTTGTATGACACACTTCAGCTCTAGTTAAGAAGATGAATTGCGAATGATTTTGCTCTTAGCATTCTTCATTTGTTTTTGTTTCTCTTGAGAAATATCACTAAAATGAATGAATGTTTGTGAAGAACCAGAAAATGGAAAGCTAAAAATATGGGACAGCTCAGTTTACGTCAACAATTATTCCTCTCACAATTTGTGAGAATGGCATTGAAGTAGAAGGAAATGAAGAAACTAAAATTCTTTTCTCAAACAAAATGAAATGAAATGGGCGCTTTATTCTTTGCTCATTGACAGAGAAGGCAGCAACAACGTCGTCTGATCCATTTCTGGAATGAACCTTTGTATCGGGTGTAATTAACAGATACGCAATCATCGATTACCGCCATGCTGATAAGTACGCTTACAAGGAATTTCATTAACTCTCATTAAGATTAAACGGTAAATTGTCGAAATGTGAAGAGCAATCTCCTTCTATTACATCAAAGAAATAGTTTACGGAGTGAAAGTGACAAGAAGTGACAAGTTCTAGTCACCTAACTCTCAAACCTTACATTCACCGACTTCTCAATTACTCATTTAGCCATGTTTGATCTCGGCGAGAGAATACTTCATGACAGCGTACTGTACGTCGATTAAGATAGCATTGAAAGTAGTGTAAAAATTTAAGCTCGAACATTGGAAATAAAGAAATCCAATGTTTCTGAATGGCTTAATAATCATCGAGAAATTTCAAGGATTTGCCTAATTTGGTACTTTTGACCTCACCGTCCACGAAAAAAATGCAAAGAAGGACTGAGGAAATTTGAGGAAACTAATAAAAACAAAATTCTGATCTTCGACTTAAAAAATTTCAGTTGACTGTTGAAAATACCAATCTTTTTAACATTTGAAATATATGAGATTTTATGTGAAATGGGAAATATTCAAAAAATGTGTTTTTTGATCTCTAGCTGAGATAGGCGTGATATCAAATTGCACGACGAAACCGGTTACTCGAATGTGCTTTAATGATATTGAAATGTAATAAATGCGTTTTAATCATTAATTAGCAATTTAGACGTACTTATGGATCAAATATTAACTGATTTTAGCAGTACAAATTGGAGAAGGCAAAACATTTCGAATCATTTGATTTGAACAAAGTTGGAACTAACTTAAGCAGCAATGACGCTTTCAATCCGATTAACTTTACCGGCTCTAACGATGCACCGGCGCGACAATCTCAAATAGATGCTCAATTTGAATATTCCGCTACACCGGCATTCGTTATGATGTTATCATTGTCGGTGGCCACATTTATTGCTGCTTTTTTCCAAGTAAAAATTATGATTTTTTGAAGTATCAAGGACATTCTGAAGATATTAAGAAATTGATATCATTCTCATACAGATTATCAAAGCACGTTTGTATCCTGTTCCGGAATCAATGAATAAGATTTGCTTTCATCTCGCGGTTATTACAGATAGCTCCATTTTGGTGCAACTGTTATTTTTATCGCAATTTTATCAACAGCTATCACTTCGAAATTTCAGTTTCAATATTTTATCGATACTGTTGTTAATAGTTTACCTTGGCTTGCTCCGTATTCAAATTCTCAATTTATGTTCTATCATTCACTTGAAATTGTTTTACCAGCCAATTAAATTGAATTTTTACAGCGCTTAGCTTGGGAAGTGTCTGGTATCAGGCAAGTTTTCCGAGTTAAAAAAGCTTACATACGAAAATTATTGCACATGGATGTGGCATGGCTTGAGTCGCGACATTCTGGACAAGTGGCATCTATGCTTCATGAGTGAATCATTTGATATTGTTCTTCATCATCCAATTATTGATAAAATCTGTGAATTTCCTAAGATACACTTCATTTTTTTCTGTTTCATCAAAATATATCTTTAAAAAACCTTAGAGAAGTTTTACTTTCATTTTTAATTGGAGTGGAGTAAAATTCTCATCATTTAAAAGACACATCATAGCTGTTATGTCATAATTTCAGTCACGCAGATTCGATCTATCAAGGTATTGCTGATCATGTTCCCATGGTTATCTTCATCTGTGCATACTTATTGGTCACTTCATCAGTCTGTTTTTATATTCAGTGGGATGTGACCTTAGTGATGTTCGCAGCACTACCATTACTAATTGGAACAAGACTTATTTTTAGCAAAGTTTACTTTTTCCCTTTATTATTTATCTTTCCCTGTGATTTAATTAACATCGTAATAATTACAAACACTGCCACACATTTTGATCATCAGCGCTATTCAATCATTTACGCACCATAACTTTTTATGGAATTGTTTTTCGTTCCAAAAAAAAAAGACTCATAACGTTCTTCACGAAAGTATTTGTTATGAAATGAACTTAACGGTCACAGTTCACATTTGTCAAGTCGTATTTTAAACTTATTTCCTCCAGAATGTTTGCTACTTATCTAACACTGCTTAATTTTTGCCATGTTTAAGTAAGGATTCAAGTTTTAGACTAAACATATCTCTTTCTCTTCATTTACTCCTTTCACAGTTATTTTAGTGGTTTTGTAAAACTCGTGATGAGGAACAGAAATTACTGGCGAAGATGACGAATCTGGTGCAGGAGACGTTCTCATGTATACGAGCTGTTATCGCATTTGCCGCTCAAAAACAAACGATCAACAAGTAAGAAGAACCGGTTGTCTATTTTTTTTAAATTCATTCAATATTATGTAAGCATGTTATGGACATATAATTCTTTTTAAATTTTTGGCACCTTTTAGGTACGAGCGGTTAACAATCGAACTGAATCGAATGACGGAACAGCGCCTCACTGCATCATCCATTTACGATGCACTTGCACAGGTACCATAACATATGTAAATTAATGATCAGAAGGAAGTTGCTTCCTTAAATTTTACAGTTTTCCTTTGATTAATGCGGCATCTGACCTTTCATCTCTCTTTTTCTATGTGTTAGATCAAAGATTAGATATACTACCTGATTAAAATTTGTTAATAATACAGGATCAACTTACTTCAAAATAAAATTCCACTCTATATACAGTAGCTGTAAATGCAACAATTATTGTAAAACAAGAATGTGAGTAAAAGTCAACAACAGCTGATATACTTTTTTAATACTGACATTTTTAGGTTCTATTAACTGAATTCATTTTTACCGCAGCTTTATGTTATGGCATGTGGCGCGTTAATGATGCCAATCCAGGTCGCCTTGCTGCAGTACGTTGATAAATCATAAAATAATCACTAATTCCATTATCAGTATCAATAAAACAATCGCAGAGATCATTCTTTCCTGATTGATAAATCCTGTCAAACGTTCACATACGTTACAATCAGTTTTCGCGCATGTATAATTGGCTACACTCATATTACCGATATGATTGATCATTTAGTTAGCGATCAATATGTTGTATATGTGCGTTACATCGATCAGTATTGGTTTCCACATGAATGGTGCTTCAACTGCTCGACAAAATGCTAATGAAATGCATGCGATTCTGGTTGAAACACCGAATATTGAGTGTTACATCAATAAGCATAGTGAAAGTATGCTGGCACCACGTGGACATGGTGCTATTGAATTCAAGGATATTAGTTTTGCATATCCAAGCAGGCCGGATATTGAGGTATCATGTGTTAATTATCGGATTTCGAGAGTTTCGTTAGCTTGCTTGAGTTTAGAAATAAACAATTAGCATGTCTGATTTTACTTCTTTTGTAATGTATGAAAGTTGAGAATTACAGGTACTGAAAGGAGTATCATTTACTGTATCAGCAGGTGAACATGTCGCGATTGTTGGACCAAGTGGATCTGGTAAAAGTACAATAACGGCGCTAATGTTGAGATTCTACGATCCGACCAACGGAACTGTTGGTATTTTTGAAGCTGCTTACATTGTCTGCTATGACCTGAATGTCATTTTGTATCTGCTACTTAGGATCAAATTTTCTGCGAACCATTTTTATCTCTTTTTACGTAACTTGTGTAATAATTACAGATCATATTAGACGGCGTCAATTTGAAAAAACTCAATCCTGACAATTTACGAGCTCAACTTGGTTTAGTCAGTCAGGAACCAGTACTTTTTGACGGTTTGTATTGATAACTTTAATAGGGAATGCATCAAGAGCTTTTGTTATTGTTATTTAGATTAAAAGCATGAAGTTTTACTGTTAAAAGTGATTGGAAATGCAAATTGTTTTCAGAAATTAAAAGATAACAATCTTACTTTATCTATTCCTACCTCTCCAGGTACAATAAGTGATAATATTCGATATGGACGTTTGAATGCAACACAAGCAGAAATTAATGAGGCGGCTCGAAAAGCAGAAGCTTGGCAATTTATTTGTACCTTACCTGAAGGCATGAAAACCCGCGTCGGTGACAGGTGCTTACGTCAAGACTTATTTTCCCTAAAAAAATCATGAATATCATATATCTGCATGCTGTGACTAACTGCTTGAACTTTCAACTTTGTATTCACTAATAAATACATATTTATTGATTATGTTTGAAAGCTGTTTACTAATAGTGAATGAACATTATTGCCCTTTCGTTTTTTATTTTTTTATTCTTTTTAATTTTTTTGAAACTGTTTGGAAGTCGAATTTAGAAATTGATTTCTGGCAGAATAAATTTACTAAATGTATGTCCTCTATTTAATTCTTTTATATTTTAAGAGGTCTGCAACTATCCGGTGGTCAGAAGCAACGTGTAGCTATTGCACGTGCAGTAATCCGTGATCCATCTGTGATGATATTTGATGAAGCAACATCAGCACTGGATACGAAGCACGAAGTTGAGGTGCAAAAAGCTATCGACGCAGCCAGCCAAGGTGTTACTACCATCACAATAGCACATCGGTAACATCATACTGTAATTGAACATGTTGGGAAGAATTTCACACCATTTAGCTGAAGAGAGAGAAGAATATATTTTATGTAAGCTGATCGAAAGACATCGTCCTCTTGGTATACTGTCTCTATTTTAGTAGTATGGAATTTAGTTATTCTGTAAATTGAAGAGTTACACTTATAGTGATCTTAACGAGAGAAATTATCTATCGCAATCGTTTAAACTATCTACTCCTCCGAATCACACTTGATTTCTGGCATCAAGTTCATCCAAGTAATAAAGTCTTTGGAATAGAGATGAGTTAAGACATGTTTTACATATTAATCCATTTTATTTTTGATTATCCAAAGACTCATTTGAGCATGAATTACTAGCACATTCCTAAAACATTAATAATAAATCTGGATAGATGTTTCGCCCTCTGATATGAGCTAATTATCGAGGGGTTCGAAATGTTTTCTTCAACAAATTAATCGCATGGATTACAGTTTGTACGACTTAATTAACTCTAACAAAAATAAAAATGGAAAAAAATATGGCCGAGATCTATACGTGAAGGTATCTTTGCAGAGAATAAGATTCCATCAGTCCTTCTTTGACATAAGTGCTAATCTTTTATAATAATCCTTCAGCTACAATAATCAACAAAACACTTTGAACAAAAAAACAAAAACATTGTCATGATATGGGTCGAGAAGACTTACTCAGAGATTCAGGATGTTATGCAAAATCAAAATGATAATTGAGCTCCAAAGATGAATTACGTCCTCTGAGAAATTCAATGCAATTTCGAGCTCATGAAATACCTACAGTTCTTAGAATGTACCTGAGTGTAAAACATATGGAGCCTCACAGGGAGAGAAAGCTAGTATATCAGTCTTGAAGTCATACAATTATGTCTTTCATCCTGCCGAATTAGTATGAGCTTCCAAATCATATGACTTAACTTTAACTCATTATAAATAGTTCTATCATTCGGGTCGACGTGAAGGATCAAACGAGGAAGAATAACGCTCCTGTCATTTTGGTGTCGCTATAAAAAAGACCAGAAAATTGGCAAAAAAAGGTCATGTTGGACAGAAAATTAATCTTGAGTAGGATGGATTCATTTAAGAATTTAAAAGTTATTTTCGGAGTTCGTTAACCTTTTCTTATTTTATCCTAAAATCTTCCTCTGTATGTTCGGTAGAATCCTATAAGCAACAAGAGTTTTCTGAAATATATCCAGAGCAGAACTTTCAGACTTGTCTCTCTACTGGTATCTCGATACCTTTGATGGTGACATAGAGATCGATTTTAACTTTTACTATCAAAAAGTCAACTCTCAGCTACTTCACAGATTGAATTTCAACTTTTGCTCTCAACAAGTCAATTTTCAGCTACTTTTCAGATTGAGTACTGTCCGAAATGCGGATCGTATTATCGTTCTAGAAAGTGGGCAAATTGTAGAAGAAGGAAGTCCAGAAGAATTGCTGGCGGACAAAGAAGGTAAATTCCACCGGATGTATAACGATCAGAAATTCGATTCTCTGGCTGTCGATAAATTGACAGCAAATTCACGTGAACGGTCGAAAGTTTCCCTGGCTGCTCATTTCTCTATGATGCCATCAGATTTTATAGTAGGTGCTTGTCATTTCTTCATTTCTTTTAATAACAATTATAAAGCTTTCCGTGCGGATGGGATTTGCTTGGAATTGGAACTAACTAAATCAGAATTATCCTTCAACTTTATCAATGTCATAAATTCAACTAACTTATCTCATTACTTTGACATATGCAAATTCACTGATAGATGATAGATGGTATTTCAGGATGCTGAAACATATCGTCGTGCTTGGGCTCGTTCATCGCTGGGTGCTCATAAACGGCTTGGCAAATCATATTCTGTACTCAGTATTGATCGTGCAAAGCTAGCATTGCCCGTAATGTCGAAGAAGCGCAATAGAATGGATACACCTTTTAAGACAAATATTATGGAAGTAGCAATGGATGATAAAGATTACGATGATCAAACTTCGGTAAAGGCTTTAAGGCTAATACTACTATCCAGTTCTCATTATATAGCATTTACTTATACCAAGAATAATCAATCGTGCACCACTGAGTCCCTAAAAAGTTCACTTGACTGAGTTACTGGCAATATTCTGGTAGATGATTTTTTTGAAGGAAACTTCTAGGATGTATGCTAATAGGATTTTCGTTTCTCTGGCACACAATGAAATTACCAGACCAAGTTTTTAATAATCTTTTATAACCTGAAAGTTATTGAAGAAAATGATTGTAACCTCAAAATTGTCCATTTTTCTCAAAAAAATCAATCACTAGTGCTATCTCAACGAATCACTTCGAAGTATATGCTTTAAGGTAGGAAAAAGTATGTTGTAGCAATTAAATATTTAAGTTCCCTGGAAAAACAACCAATTTCAATGCCATTTGGAATTTAATCAAGAGCTACAGAGATGGTTATTCACATTTGAGTGTAGCCATTCCAGTGACCATTCTGCGAGGATTCTTTTTTCTGCTTGTTTGTTTCGAAGTTTCATCAGTACTTGAGGCTAGTCTATTTTGTTCTTGCCTTTTGATAAAGCTTTTTTCAATCCTTAAAAAAATTTTTTTTATCAAAGATCGACTCTGATACAAACGATTTTGCTAACAGCCATCTTCCTCTGCCTTTCTGTTTGCAACGGTTCATCTCTGTTTTAAGTTATTCGATGAATGAAATGATTGATTTGCAGATAGCACTAGCTCCAAATGAAGAAACAGCCCAGCAAGTGTTTATCACCGCAGCAGTTTATACAGCTTTAATCATTATTAAAACAATGTTCGAGGCAGTCGGAGTATTTTCAAATTGACTTAATCCTAATAAATTTTGACCAAATTTCGAAATAATTCATTCCAACTCTTGCTTTCCCGAATTCCTAACCTGATCGGTTAAAGATGCAATATTTTAACCTGCTAATATATTTCATTTTACAAAGACATCTCTAAGATATCGAACTGCGACATTATGGGCAACCGTGTAAACTTTATAGCTCGTTACTTCATAAATATTTGCAGCGTTTATTCATCGCATTATATGGACATGGTTTTTGTGGATACTTGCGAAACAAAATGTTTCGAAAGATATTGAGACATGGTGCAGCTTATTTTGATGAAGAAGCCAATACACCTGGAAGACTGGTTCATAAGCTAATGTCTGATACTGCAACGCTTAATAGGGTGATTAAGTTCATGCGTTGTAGGTAACTTACTGATAAGATGGAAGGATGATTTTTCGTGTATTGTGCTGATATTTACCCGGCTTAAAGCATCTCTAGAACCCAAATACTGCAATGATTTATTAGTCTTTCATACTTTTGTCTGAGTTATTCATGATTTCATATGATTTTGTATTGAGTAACGAGCATATTGTTGTCTTCAATTTCAGACTCTTGGCGATAAGTTGGATTTGCTTCTTCCTGCAATTATATGTTCCACGGTGTCAGTTACTATTGCACTGCTAATAAACTGGAAGCTAGCGCTCATCTGTGGTTTCCAGTTTCCAGCTTTTTTCATCTTTCGCCTAGTAGAGTTACGAGAAACAAGTAAGCGACAACGACAAATGGCCGAGCAGGAAAAAGAAGCTGCTAATGTTTGATATTTCTTAAATTTTTAATTTTCAAAGAGTGAAATTTTTGTTTTATCAGCCAGTGATGCAAAAATGCCTGTTAGTGGGGGGTCATATTAATGGTATTTCACGATATATTCCAATAATTTTCAGCTGGCTACCGCAGTACTATCGAATATGAGTACAATTAAAGCTTATACTCTTCAGGAACATTTCAACAATATTTTTTACGAGACATTGAAACCACTACAGAAGTAAGCTGATAAAATTTGTTAGCATAAACAGAATAAAAGCTACTACCACATATTTTGCCAGGTGTCTTTCTCACGACTCTCCTACGATTCTATCAATAACACTGAATCAAATACATTATATCAGTTTTATTTACAGGACCATGAAAAGACAGTCTTGTATTAGTTCATTTGTATTTGCTTGTCAATTCTCTTTCACATATATTCTGATTGCAATAACGTTACATTTTGGAAAGGTGATGATGTTAAGTAATGAAATTACACCGTTCAATTATTTAAGGTTTGTGTTCATCGGTTGGGAAAAGAAACTTTATCTCAGTTCTTGAAGAATTTAGAAACTTTGGCAAATTTGTCATTTCAAAATATGCAATATCACAAAGATTTATGCATCTAAAAATGCCAAATGCAGGGTTGTATTATTGACGCAGTTCGGTGCCAATTTCATCAGTCAATTAATAGCATCAATGAATGATATATCGAAAGCACGGGTGGCGTCAGGAAACATTCTCAATGTCATTAAAGAAACTGCCGTTGACATGAATAACTTGAGTGATGAGGGTCTGCGACCGGTTGGTCTACAAATTTGGATTTTCAGAAAAAAAAGGCCTCAGATATCTTGCGGTTAAGAGAATAGTCGTCTTTAAGATTGCTCGGAGTTTATTGTGATCAAGAGAATTGTTTTTTTCTGATAACGGGATATGTGCGTGTCCTGTTTAACTGCTTTAATTCATTTGTATATTAAAGTATATTTAAAAAAGAAATTTATTTTAGAAAACAACTGCTCGATTAATGCTAAAAAATGTCGAATTTCGTTATCCGTCTCGACCTCTTTATCCTGTACTTCGCAATCTTACTTTGAAGGTTAGATTTGTTGCTATCAAATCAATTTTGATTTTTCCCTGTAAGAATTTTTTCCCCTTTAAGAATGATTCAGAATTCTAATGAATCATTATTAAGGCTTTTTAAATCATCGAATTCGATTCATCTAATCAAAGACCGAGTGTTAAAAAAAAAGAAAAAACCAGTGAAATACTATCAACGATTGTTTTAGGTTCGACCAGGTGATTCAATAGCTATCGTCGGTCCATCTGGTTCTGGAAAAAGTTCCATTCTGGCACTTTTTCAGCGCATGTACAGTACGACAAAAGGAGAAGTGGTGCGATGCATTCTTTCATTATCTCCATGTATAAAATTTTATTGTAAATGATTCAATTTTAAAAAGAATAAGAAAAATCCTTTCAATAAACATAAATTTACAGCTCATTGACAATTATAACGTGAAACAAATCAATCCGGCATACTTAAGGCGGGTCGTCGTTTCGGTTGGGCAGGAGCCAACTCTCTTTTCGTTTACAATTCGTGAAAATATAGGTGAATATTATTTTAATATCAACACTTTTAATATCAGTTGGAATGGGTAATTAAATAACTTATCTTGCATGTTCGTGTAAGATTTACTATATACGCAGTAGCAAATATTTCATTCGAAATGCAAAATTTGTGAAAAAGGTATTTTTTTTAAGAACGATTGGTTAATTTACTCACGGTTCAACAAGAACGAAAGGATAGCGAAGTTTCGTTTCGTTTCCACTAGTTCCATTCGTTCTTCAATGTAGAAATTTTAATTTACAGATTGTTATGGTACTGAATAAGAGATGGCTAATTTTTTTTAGTTGGTTTCTAAATTAGAAAAAGTGAATTTTAAAAGTATATTGTATTTATAGGATATGGCTTGCCGGAAGATGAAGCAACTGAAGAAAAAATCGTAGAGGCAGCCAAAATTGCAAATATACATGACTTTATCTTATCATTACCACAAGTAAGAGTAAAGAAATAAGCAATATTTCAAATCACAATTCATACTTATTCATCATTCGTTTGAAATTCAAGTATTTAATAGCCGATTAGTTCTGCTCTGCTAATAATTATTTATTCATTTGATATAAAATAGTTCTTGAAGGTATATGCAACTCTAGGGCTATGATACCGAGGTTGGCGAATTTGGCGCTCAACTTTCTGGAGGTCAGAGGCAGAGGATTGCGATTGCAAGAGCAATAATACGAGAACCGCGAGTGTTGTTACTCGACGAAGCGACCGCCGCCCTAGATACAGCAAGCGAAAAGGTTTGATAGGAATTTGAACTTATTCGACTTTTCTTTGGATGCTTTTTTTTAATTTTATATCAAAGCAATTTTTATAAATTCAACTGAAGAAGCTGGCTTCAAGAACATACAAAGACTTGACAACACTTTGTAATTTTAAATATATTGATTTACAGGCAGTGCAAAGTGCTCTCGAGTCAGTCAGCAAAAATTGTACTTGCATTTACGGCAAGTTAACCTAATGTAAAGAAAACAACTGAGTTACAAATCTTTAATTGGAATTAGCATGGAAAAATTTATGTCCAATTCTGCAGCTGCAAAAAGAATTGCGTAGGCAGAAAATTAGATATCATTTGTTAAACTGATAAATATTAATGATGGAATGAATTTATGTGGTGCGCTTAAAAATTTTTTTATCTTTTTAGTAGCGCATCGTTTATCGTCTATAAGATCAGTGAACATGATCTATGTACTAGTTGATGGCGAAATTGCTGAACAAGGTTTGATTTTGCTAAAAAAAGTTGTTTGAAATTGATGACGAAGGTTTCTTTATTGCTAGTCAAATGAATTTTCTGATCCTGTTAAGATCTGACATAGTTTTTTAATTTATTCTATATTAGTTATCTTACATTACTGATGTCTCTACAGGTACGCATCAGGAACTCATGGAGGAGAAGGGTTTATATTATGAGATGAATCAATCAGAAATCTGATGAATTTAACATTTTCGGTTTCTTTTTGAACGAAGCCTGCCTATTGAAAGATGCCATGTTTATACTGGACATGTTGTTCTCTGATAGTCTTCATATATTCATTCCTACTTTATTGATGGACTGGTCATTTTTCGTGCATTTTTTTCTTATTTCAAAACCCCTTGTCTGATGAATTGAAAATCGATTTTACAATAAAATCATTTCTTGACTTCATTGGTTTTTCTGGTGATGTTTATATCCGTTCTAGCTTCACTTAAATTTTGAGCACTTAACGAATTTAATAAGTTTTTCAAAATATGGGTGAAATCTACCAAATTATGAAATCCTCAAAGATAAAGTATAGTTCCTCTGGATTCAAAGATTTATAAAGCAAGCAAAAATCACATTCGACCACATTTTGAAGTTCCGAAGAAACGGATCAGATCAAAAGATTTCAAGGAAATGATACCACTAAACAAAGTCACCCAGTTCTTTTGTTGTGCTTTGAGTTTTGAAACAACAAAATTTGCAACTTTATTTCTTGAATCAGCTATTTTTTGTTTTATTTCTCGAATCAACTGAATATTTCGTGCTCTGAAACACGGCAGGTTCCATCATTTATGAGAAAATAACAGTCGGTATATCAAAACCACTCTTAACATCCTTTGATTGCGGTTTGGACTGAGCTAGCATTATAATGGAATATTAATAAATCTCTATTTAGCGATTTAGACCCTAAATATATACCTCGCAAGGATATCCATACTATTAAAGCTGCTCTTAACGTTCTTTTAATTACATTTTAAAAGTCTGCGTTATAAATGTAAGTGGAAGTGATAAAGAGTTCTACCAACTTTGCCATTAGTGTTTTAATTTACTGTAATGTTTATAAAAAGTTAACGGTACCACTTATTAGAACTTGAGTTTGATTTTTGAAACCATGAATCATAATCGTTTTTTCGCGATATCCGAAATGCAAGATGTGAAGTGCATAAAATCGTCATGAAACAAGAAGAAGCAAGAAAATCAATGATTTACTAAGTTGGGCGTAATTGAAAATAAGAGAAATTTCGTAAAAGAGGAAAGAGCTAGGACGCTATAACTAGTAGCCACTAGTATGTAGCATTAAAAATATATTTGATGTCAAATAATGGTGAACAATACTGCTAATATCGACTATTATCGTTGATCATTTCATTGACGTTCGTTTTTAAATGGATCCTCCGGATGATTGATCATACTGGAAAACGGTATGTCAATTTAATATTTTAAATAAATCTTTGAATTACTTTAAATAAAGGATTTGCTGATTCATTTAAAAAGACTTTAAAAATTCTGAAGCCAAAACTCTTCAAGATCCAAACCAATTGTTAAAAATAAGTTAAAAATTTACTAATCGAAAAAGAAAAGACGCTGACGATGACTGATGTTGTTTAGTTCTTCCACTTCGTTTTCGGTGAGTTTGAAATCAAATACCTGATGAAAAAAAAAATCACTTGTTCTCGAGAATCACTTTAATTTCTGTTTCTGATCTTGAAATGCAATAAAGTCTCATAATTCCACTTCAGAACCGCCCTATCCTTTTCTAAAATTGCCTTAAGAGATTATACAAAAATATACATCAAAATTCTCCTTGACTCGATGATTTTTGACACTCTTTGGAATGACACAAATACCACGCTCAATCAAGTACCGCAAGCATATTTGGGCTGGGGTTTTCCCATACTTCTTGCTAAGTTTTTTCACTATTTCATTCTCTAAATCTGCTTTTGCTTCTGCCCATTGCATCTTCCTAAAAAGTAAATTTTAGATATTATGACTGACTGCTATCAAACCAAAAACAGTGAACAAATTAACAAATGTTGAACTCGTCCTACAAAAAATTAAGTGAAAAAGCAAAGAAAATAGCAATGTAAAATTTGAAATCATTTCAAATTTCAAAAATCTCACCCTCTATTTGGAACTTCCCAGTTAGATCGCCCAGGTGACCCAAGTGGTGCATATGCGGTTAATGAGATACCATGCTTTTTGCATACGTTATGTAACTCAAGCTGAGGGAAGTATAAGTGACATTCCACCTGAAATTACACAGAGTTCAACGGAATAAGTCTACATTGAATCTTTGTAAGAGACTGTCTTTTGGTCACCTGAATATTTCAACATAAGTTAATGATTTCAAATCAAATTTAAATTGAATATCAATTAAATCGAATGAAAGTTTAGAACAGCTTTTCCCTCCAAAAGATAGGATTTTCTACAATAACACCTTTATAAACTGAAGATGAATCTTAACCTGAACATTGTGAATTTTCGTGGAAGATGAATTTTGCACTCTTTCAATTTGATTAATACTGAAATTAGAAACACCAATCGCTTTCGTCAAGCCTTTTTTGAACACCCCTTCCATACCCTAAAAAAATAAAACATCCAACATCCACTCACGCAAATTGTCATAACAATTCAATTATTTTCAATGATATTAAAAACTAAAAGATACTTTAAATGTATGAAATCGATAAAATGATAATAAATTTTAAAAAAGTGCATTGAACTAACAGTCCACAGCTTTTCCAATGAATCTGAAGTGTCCGGCTTCTTCATTTCATGCTGCAAAAAATTTTAAGTAAATGAAAATGGAGAGCAGAAAAATTTCTTGCTAGACCGCAGAACTGATTGAACTAGTCTCTCGTTATCTCTGTCTGAACAATTTTAGATAAATTCAAAATTTGAAATCTGAGCCAACATCAGGAACTGACATCAAAAGAGGTCGGCATATGAATGAGATACAAATCCGCATAATTTGTCCGCAATTTCTCCAGCGATTGACATAATTGTCCCTCTACTTCTTTCGCTCGATTATGAGTGCACCACAGCTGTAAATCTCCCGGTGATTAGAATTCTTGCTAAAGGTAATTTTAATATTTAGTTATCGTCTACCTTCATGATTACTTTTTCAATTGTTGGAATTCTATATTATTGAAAATATTTTAAAAACAACAAAACTCTATGTGTAAAGAACTATGTTCAAAATCTCTCAGATATGAAATAACTTTTGCACCGACGAGAAAGCTTCTCTTGCACTTAGTGTTCATGTATATAGAATAACTAGCTGTTGGCTGTTTTGCTGTTGATAGTCCAATTTCTCCTCATCACTGTCCTCAACAAATTTTTAAAGCTTGAACTTTTTGTTAGCTAAGAATCACATATTTTTTGAAGAGATAAAATAAATGAAAGCGAAAAATCTGTAACTATGGAGATTTCATATCCTCAAGATACAACGAAAGATAGATAGTGACCAATGTCCTTGAGAGAAAACAAAAAGCCAAGCCTTTGAAAGAATGGTAAAGTAATGGATTAGTGTTTTGTTTTCATGTGTATATGAAAAGAAAAGAAAATGGAAAGGTGCAGTGATACATTCGCTTATTTTAAGCCTACCTTTGTAGTAATGAATATATCTTCTCGCTTCAGTTTACCAGGTTTGATATATTCCTCGTCCAAAACTTTGCCCAGGTCTTGCTCATTAAAATAACAAGCGGCTGTATCAATTAGCCGGTATCCGCAGTTGAGTGCATATCGAACTGAATCAGCTGCTTCACCAGGTTTGGACTGAAACTTGGCTTTTTAACTCTTGACTAATGCTTCCTGGTATCTGTATATTTCCGAAAAGAATGATGCCTTGAAGAGAATCAGCTGGTCAAATGGAATCAGTGCCACTGCAGAAAACCACATTTGTTTATCTGCTTGCACGTTTCATGTCATGCAGAAAACATCTATTTTTCAAGCCAGGCAATTAGAAGAAAATTGCTGTATGAAAAGAGAATATGACGAACCAGCCACATTCCCAAACCAATGATTGGCATTTTCGTACCACTGGAAAGACGAATCGCTGGAACCACCATTTATAATAATTTGTCTAAAGATGTATTTTCTTGATTTTACTGTTGATAGAAAATGAATTAAGGAATGAATTCAGCAAAATAAGGAATTCATCTAATCTCTGACGATTATCGTCGAAAGTTAAAAACGAATATTCGCTTTCGATTTCTACGTTTTGCCAACATAAAACGTAAAATCATTATCCGCACTTTTTGACTTAAAAGCAATAAACTAACTGTTCATATTTATGACTTGCTAATTAGATTAATTTGAGAAAAAACGAAATAGCATAATATTTGCATAACTAACACGATTTAATATAGAAATATCACTGTCATGTCATGTATAAAGGCGGGTAATGGTAAATAAACCTTTGAATAAAACGATACCGGCAAAAAATCAGCACTTGAGAATGATGTAGTAACTTTTAACATAAGATGAGTCTAAATCTTAATAGTCGATGGGAATCATCCCTTATTAAAATCTTTCCTGTTACTTTGAATTTCTCTCCCGTATTCGTTTATCTTAAGAAATTTCACGGCTATAAAAATCAATAAAAAAGTTTTCTAGGAAAGAATCCGAATTTTTTGAAAGCAAAATTTACACATTTCGAAATTTCGACGCGTTTCTAGTTTGCATAACTAATGTATACGAGTACAAAAAAATATGGCGCATAAATGTGGACTTATTATTGGCAAGTTCTGCGGGTATGCTTTCCGCATTGCATTCCCTTGGATCGATGATGGAACATGATGAAATTTGAAAAATAAATTATTTTCAGTTGATATTATAAAAATGAATGGCACAGTTCAGCAGAATCCGATTACAATTGAAATGGAATTTTATTAAAATAAATTTCTCGCGCAATAATTTCTAAGAAATGGTAACAGAATGAACCATATCAGAGAAGCAAAATGCTACAGGAGCATGTGACTGACTGCAATCCTGCATACCCTAGTAGCGCCAAATTTTTTAGTTCGTATTTATAAAGAATTCTGGAAAAAAATAGAGTAAAAACAGAACACATGGTGTGATGATAAACAACAAAAAGTTGCCTTTCGAGAGCATTTGTTGGTGTTTTCGGGAAAAAACTGACAGATGCTTTTGGACGGTGATTAATCCCATGGCACACCATTACAACAAAAAGAAAGGATGGGCTAAAAGTCCTAGAATATTTTTTGAATTTTATCACTACAGTTACTTCAGCAAAATTTATTTCCAAAATTTTCAAAGCAAATTTTAATTTCAAAGCTTCAAAGCTTCAACAATACGAATCTCTCCTAATCATTCCGGTTGATAACGAGTAAATTTTAAGTTGTTTCATTATGGAAAACATTCCCAATATCATCATGAAGATGGAAGGATATCAAAAATTTCGAAATAAATTTTATCTTGAAGTAGCACAGCAATTTGAAAGACAATCTAGAATGAGATCTAATGATCGACTCGTGGTGCATCTCAGTCCTAATATTAGGGCAGCCCTCTTTAGTAACTGGAAACATCAAATCGGTGTTGGTCTGCCTTGACATTTTGAAAAACAGTTAAATTATGTTGGTAAAGCACTTGTCATTATTATTTTCTTGTTTATCATCCAAATTTTTAAAAATCATTTCTTCATGGCTTTAAGAATTATGATATCTATCCGGAAAAATTGTAATTTAAAGATTACAAAATTGAAACTACAAGACGGAAATGAAAGAGGATTGTATAAAAAAGAAGAGAGTGTTTCATCCTAACCGTTTCATCTTGACGTGTAAGACAGAAATCTTTGATCCCTGAACTGTCGTTCTTTTTTCTCAACTGTGCAAAATATCTTGATTGTTTGAAATTTGTTGATAATTTCGGATGACTTACGAGAGTTGTTGTTGAAGCTTTGCTTCTGGAACAGATTATATACTCTAGCAGACTTTTATTAGCAAAATATTTGTCAAAACTTAAAGAATAAGCCATTTTGACAGTTTAACCAATTGCGCCCATTCTGGCAATCATATTATATTTCGTTCACTTTACACCAACTGTTCTGTTCGGTTACATTTTTCGGTGTTACAAAATGAGTGGAAAGCTAGGAGTAATCTATTCTGAAGGTAATATGTTCTTGAGCATTGGGTACCTTGAATATTCTAAGACGAAGGGTGGGATTGCTTGTGAGCCTCTTACGTGATGCGAGTAGATTCGGTGACATTGAACAGTTTGTCCTCTCAATCTCTTCTAAAAACAATTACCATCTGTAGTACAACCGTACATAAACCATAAATATTCGCATGGAAATGGGCAAACTGAAAATACGTACACAAAAAAGCTTCGAAAGGATGAAGTTGAAAGCAGAAATCAATATGGTTGTTAGGAGAACGTGAGAAAAAATTGAGAAATACAATATCCAATGATAAGTGTAGTGAGATGCTACTGTCTTATCATATCAAATCAGTACATCAATCCATCTAAAAAACATCTAGAGGGAAACATCATTCTAACACGTCACTTCCCGCACATTCTTCTACTTTTGTGCTGTTCTAGACATCAGATGTTAAACAGCAGTACCGATTATTCCATTACGGTATTTCTTGATGAAATTTGGGTTGTGGATGGTGTGGTGTGCGTGAAGATAGTGGTGCGTAATTTGTGGGTGCGGGATGGCAGGATTGGATCGTTCTTCTTTTGGGATTGGGTCAGTAGTGCATGAGGTATGGTAAAACAGGATACCATACCTATTATTATGCTCTCTTTTTCTGGTCAGTCATGTGATAGCCAGTTGGGATCAGTTGTTTATTTTGAAAGCTTGCATTTGTACAGCTTATGATTTTTCCGAAAATATTTCAGGTCTTTAAAACGTTCGCGGAAGACTTAGAACGATCCTTGTCGCACGAAGATGGGCAGGGAAGACAAAGCAACGTGGAAAGCGAAGTATTTCGTTAAAATTGTGGAATTATTGGAAGAATATCCAAAGTGTTTCATTGTTGGCGTAGATAATGTTGGCTCAAAACAAATGCAAGAAATCCGTCAAGTAATGAGGGGTAAGGCTATTACTTATTTTTCAAAGTAGTGGTCTATTCTTGGTCCTCTAAGTGACAATCATTCGGATTCAGGTCATGCAGACATTTTGATGGGTAAAAATACCATGATTCGGAAGGCAATCCGTGGTCATCTGCAAACCAACCCAGATCTCGAAAAGCTACTACCGTACATTGTTGGTAATGTTGGATTCGTTTTCACCAATGGCGATCTGAGCGAAATTCGGACGAAATTGTTAGAAAATCGACGTGTAAGATTCATGGATATTTTTTTCGACTATCTGATATATAATAACGGTTCCACAGCAGTGAGAAGGAAGCCGTATTGCTAACTCATATATTGAGTTTGAAATTTTAATAGAATTCGTTGTGCGGATGCTCTTGATAAATCTTTTTTGTTCATTTCAGGGTGCTCCTGCTAAAGCTGGGGCTATTGCACCATGTGACGTCAAGTTGCCACCTCAGAATACTGGTATGGGGCCAGAGAAAACATCTTTTTTCCAAGCTTTACAAATTCCAACAAAGATTTCTCGTGGTACCATTGAAATTCTGAATGAAGTGCATTTAATCAAGACTGGCGAGAAAGTGGGAGCTTCTGAATCCGCCCTTTTGAATATGTTGAACATTATGCCGTTCTCCTACGGTCTTGTTGTGCGGCAGGTATGGAACTTAAGCAAAGCGCTTAGCACTTTGAAGGTCTTGTAAGGAGATGATAGTAGATTGGATACTTCTTATCAACGATGTATAAAAATGTTTTTTTGAAAGGTTTATGAAAATGGGACTGTTTTTGCACCGGAAGTTCTGGATATGACACCGGATGATATTCGTGCAAAGTTCCTGAAGGGCGTGCAAAATGTCGCGGCAGTGTCATTGGCTATTGGCCATCCGACGCTTGTTTCAGTGCCGCATTCCATAGCAAATGCACTCAAAAATCTGTTAGCCATTGCTGTGGAAGCGAACATCGAGATGAAGGAAGCAGAGAAGGTTAAATTTATCAGTGTCTTTTATTTTAATCATGCTTTTACTGATTTCGCAACTTAATTATCCCTGCGTTTTTTTTTTCAGATCAAGGAATTTTTAGCAGATCCATCCAAGTTTGCAGCACCAGCAGCTGCAACGACAGTTGCTGTTCCATCGGCACCATCTGGTGAATCGGGAGCGCCATCGAAGAAAGAAGAAACCAAAAAAGAAGAATCATCGGAAGATGAAGATATGGGATTCGGACTTTTCGATTAAGAGCATCATATATTTCCCATTTGCACCCATTATTTGTTGGAGTTTGTTGATTTAATAATAAATATTGCTGTTCGCTGTTTGTTTTGCAGAAACTGTTGGTACCATTTGCTACTTCCTCGAGGTTGCTTGTCAAAAAGCACGGTTACTTCGGCTTCAGGTGTTAACGTAATTGCGATTGAAGAAGATCCGTTTTGGTGATATTTGAATCAATCTGATGACGGGAATAGGGGAGAATGGAGGAGGCAGACCAGACCGGTGTCCTGCCCTCTAGAAGTACTGATGTGTCATAAGCAGTTTACCTGTATTGTGGAGAATAGGAAGAGTTGTCGCAGTATTTTATCTCGGAATTTTGTGGTCACATGGTCGGTCAGTAAGGAAGTACTTTGCGCTTCATCCATCATTCGTAGCTCGGATTTCCGTGGTCTGCTCGTAATGTTTTCCAATTCTTTTTTTATTGTTTTCAGGTAAAAACTTTCTAAATAGCCGAAGAGAGTTTGCAGTAAATATGCTGATCTTCAAGGACGCATTCACAGGTTAGTGCCCTCGTTTCATCATTTTAAATCCGAAAGTCATAGGAAGCTCACAGTGAATATGTTAAAGTGTATTTCGCTGGTAGTTTGTTGTTTTTTTCGTTTTTTTTACTGCGATTATCCATTGAGCCATATTCCTTAGGTCCAATGAACGAGGCTGGAGAGGCAGTTTACTGTGAGCCAGTTATTGGTGAACAGCATGCGCTGCTTGGAGCTTCCTATGCTCACTGGACGAGTATAATGTGGCAGAGCATGTTTGATAACAAAATATGTCTTTTTTGATATATCTTAGTTGTTATCCTACAACTTTTTAAAATGGGGTCAAGAATTGGGTTTTTCTATTGTAATTCAACTGGGAAACCCAGTTCTCTTCTCTTAGTATTAACACACATCTCAAAGGTTTTCGTTTTCTTTTTGTTTCATCAGAATTAGTAATTTGTGCACCCAAAATATAGCTTTGATACTGTCAAGTTGAAACAAATTTAAGTGTTAGATTTTGAAGTATGGATTTGCGTTTTGATGGGGTCGTTTAGTAAACAATGAATGAGTTTGTTAAAAGTTTATTGACGAGAGGTTTTCGAATATATAATTGTAAAAATAATTGAATGCTCACATGCAGATCAACTGAATCAATTAAATGTTTATGTTTAGATGACGAGCTTGCATCGGACTCGTTCCCAATGAAATTAGTGGATGGATTGATTTGGGAGTTCAAAGGGCGACAAGTGGTGAGAAGGGAAGGAGAAATTCTACTTGCAGGTGCAAATCCTTCTGCAGAAGGTGAAGATGGCGATGAGGGTAGCGATGAATGCGTTGAACGAGGCATTGATTTTGTGCTCAACCATCGATTACAAGTAATAACTGTAGCACTCGCTATTCATAGAGCTATATTTCAAGTATCGGTTTGAAATCTGCTGATGGCCTGAAATGTTCGTAGTTGATATATTTGGATTTCCTAGTTGTACTGTTTCAGAGAATGTTTATTTTTTTTATCTCAGGTTTACTCAGATTTCTGCAGGAAATGAATTGTTATGAGGACATGGCTACCTTTAAATCGTATTGCAAATCATTTATGAAGAAAGTAGTTGAACTGATGCAAAAAAACGGCAAGTCGGAAGCAGAAATTAATGAATTCAAGCGGAAGATCCAAGCTTGGGTCGTATCACTCCTGAGCAAGGATCGATTTAAACAGTTGCAGTTCTTCATTGGTATGTTACTTCCATATTAAGTCTAATTTTTGGCACTCTGTTTTAATTCGTAAAGGCAAAATTCATTTTGGATTTACTCGGAAGATTCAGATTTAACTTGTATTATTACTAAAGTTTAGCTTGTATTATTACTTTGTATTGCTAAGCAACTCTTGTCGAGTTTTTATTGATCGTCTTGTTGAATTATGCAATATCATTTTGCAAGCATGACTTAAATTTTAAAAAAAAAAGGCATTTTCTAGGCGAGCGTATGGCTGAAGGTCAAGGTGAGGGACAAGTAGCTGTAGTAGAATATCGAGATGAGGAGGAAGGTGAGGTGCCCTATTTGATGCTTGTGAAAGAAGCACTTGTTGAAGAAAAACAATGATTTCTAATTGGCAACTGCGTTCTTTTAACTGCGTTTCCTTCCTGCTTGTTGTTTTATGTTTACTCTCTAGTTGTATGAAAAATATGGCGGATAAATATGTTGGCAATGAATATTCTTCCTAGTTTGGTTCTGTAAACCATTTCGTTTTCCAAGACTTTATACGAGTAATCATCAGTTTGGATGGGCATAAAGTTGGTTCCCAACAGTTTCCGGTGCGCATTTCAATGGAAGGATGTTGATGGTTGAGGTGGTAGTATATGATATGATTGATAGTCATTACATTCATGTAGAAGTATCTGATTTTACGAGGAAATCGTCTATTTCCTGTAATGATTGACTTCCGATTGCTTTTCCATCATAGAACTAGTGGTTGACTTGGAGTTGATGGAATCGTCAGTAATGCCTGTGCAATGAGATTATTATTCCTATATTACTGAGCAGAAATACATAGGTGGTTGGGCGCTGAAGCTTTGCAAGATTTGGTTTTTCGTTTGACAGTTTGGCTTACCGTTGAGCGGGATCAGACGTTCAAAAAAGTTTTGTCTGAAATGAATCTAACTTTAGGAATCGATATTGTTATTTGAGTTATTAACTGTAATACATGTCCTTGAGTAGATCTCAGGTTGACTCATTTATTGTGAAAGAAATTTTCAATCCGGGGTATAGGTCTATTAGGAACGTGGAAGAAGTAAGCATTCGATTCATCAATAATTCCCACGATACTGTTGATCTTTGTTGGATTGATTTTCGGGTAAGTATTGCGTATGTAGTATTTTCGTTTCATCCTGAAACAGTTTAAAGTTTGAATGGATGTTTCTATTGGCTTATTTATTAGTATCCGTAATTAGATTGAGGTTTATCTCTTCGAGATAAAGCAATCTTGTAATAATCCGCTTATCATTGGACCTTATGTCAAGGCTAATTCTCACATCAAAGATTCAGAGAGGAGATAAAAGTGGTTTTGCTAATATTCTCATAACGAAGATTTTCAGATTTTAGTTCCTTCTTTCAGGGCAATTTAGTTCGTTATTTGAAGCTTGGTTCACGCGAAGTGGTAAAGTTAACCACTTTTATTGGCAAGTCACTTTTTTTAATTTCATATATTTTAAGCAACTCTTATGTAGTCCGAGACTACGTAAAGCCAGTTCTTGAAGTCTTGCATTGATATTTGGATGGTAGGCAGTTTCGATGTTATTGCATTGCTGTACTTTATCTGTTCTGTTTCTGAACCGTCCAAATTTTTCAAGTGAAATTAGAAAGCTGATGCATATTCCAAGAAATTAACATGTTCCATATAGCAGGGCACTACTGGATAGCGCGATTCGTACGGAACGGTGTAGCTGCACAGTTCTTACCTGATCATACTGAAGTTTTTGTCACCACTAGGCGTTTCCCTCATACAGCAGTTGTTTTTATTGTTCAGAAAGGTTTTTCGTTATCTATGATGTTTTCAATGACTTTTTAATCGATCGAACTCTTTGATTTTCATTTGTAAACAATGCATAATATTCTTTCAAATTTGATGAAGTTAGCAGAATTACAATGAAGCTAAAGGCTTTAGTATAGTTCCGAATTAAAAAAACTTGTAAAGGGAAGGAAAAACTGATTTTTTTTCACTCATTTTTTCATATTTACTGTAGAACTATGATAATAGTTTTTAAAATAGTTGAATTAAATATGGTTTTGTCACTACCAAATCCATTTATTCACTTCTTTGATTTGAAATAATTATACAAAAGATGATAGGCTTTATTTCGATGTAGACGGTTGCACGTCATAAATTAATTTTTTTATGGTTTAAATTTTAAATGTTAATGAAAAGAAAAATTATTTTATTTACAGTAGTGCTTTTTGCTTTTCGAAACTATTGCTTCTGATATATTTTTGCAGTACCCACATTGTTTGAAGCAGCTGTTGAGCATATCGGAGAACTGTTTCACGAACAGCAGTACGCTCTGTATAAGCTTCCTATTTCTGAGCTTGTAAAGGTCAACCTTTTCTTTTTTGGATTTGTATGAAATAAACTTATACAAATAAAAAATATTAGTGGAAAGCTGGGTGTGTATCTACGTGTTTATCTATACATAATATGGAATACTTTGCTTGAATTGATATGTTTACGACAAAGAGAGCGTGAAAGCTCTTTTGAACATATTTCATTAAATTAGTGTTCACTGAGAGCTTTAATGATCGATAGATCAATGAATTTGTATTTATTGTAACAGATTGGTGTTTGAGTAAAGTATATTGTTAGAAATGTGTTTTTTAAATTTGCCTTAATTGTAGTTTATTTAGTTTGATATTTATTTTTACATCCGGCGGAAGCAAATATATCAGACTGCATTGTTTGTTTTACCCATCCCACGTAATCTTTTACGTCCAAACCATAACATTGATGCTAGATTGCAAGAACCATTCGAAGTCGATGGTGTTGAATGACGGGAAATCGAAAATCAAATTCAAGATTCCGAAGAAGATTGATGTAATTCATTCCTTTTTATTCAGATCTTTAAAAAAATTTTATCCTAAAATCTTAGATAACGAGGTGAGAACACACAACTTGAAGTTAGTTGATCGTAGTGATTATTGGATCTTGAATCGAATGTGAATCATTTATACCTTAGTTTTATGGTTAGTTTTACGCGAGATAGGTAGCCGAATACCCTTATGAGCCATTTGAAAAGATGTCCAAATATTTTTGACAAAAAAGACCACAGCAACACATATAGGCTTATTACATAGCAACATATATAGGGTTATAATTATATTTTGGAAACGTCACTGAATCCCTCGTCTTTTTCGAACCTTGTTCTCCGTTTTCTAGATGCTATTTTGATTCTTCTAACATTTCGCATTGTTCAGGCAGGACTGTTTAATAAACAAGAAATATGCAGCATATTAAAGGATGCGAACAGTACGTTTCCGCGTAGGTTTTGCATTTGTCTTCTCAAATATTTTAGGATCATTAAGTCAGTTAAATTTGAAACATAAATAAGTCCGCGAAAGTTGAGTTTTAAATTTATTTGGGCCATAATATTTCATTTAAAACTTTTGCATTCATTTCAGAACAGCTTATGAAAATATTCACTAGTGGTCAAATAGATCTTTTTTTACAAGCAGTTTCGGATCTGTCGGTGGAGTGCTCAGATTTTGAAATAAATGAAATATCCCTCACATATTTAAGAAAAGAATTCGTTGTTATGAGTTCCGCGACTGTTTACAATTACACCAAAAAATGGATTGACTTTCTTTTGCAGAACAATTCAGGAGCAAGGTTTGATATTTTTAAGAATTTGACTGCATTTTCATATTTCTATCATAGTTTCACTTTCATGTGAACTGGGAACCTTGCTGCTTACATATATAATATTGTTTATCTCACTTGCTCTGTGTGAAAAGACCGAAGTTATAGTAAATAGTGTTTTGGGTGAAACTCAATTAAATTTGAAATAAATGAAATTAAAGGCGCTAGACTGGCCTTTGTCTTTTCTATCGACATTGTTTATAATAACTTAGTAAACTGACATGTTCTGAAAGAGTAGGAAAAGTCTAACGAGCCATCTTCTCACACTTTTTATTTCAGAAATCATTGTTTGCTACTGAAACAACTTATATGCTGTACAAATTTGTTGCAAAATAACCAACTTCAGTCATTGCTTCATGAAGTTCTTCCACAAGCTTATCGTCATCTTTGCTTCATGAAGCAATTTTCCTCGGCTTCGGTGATTGCGGAAGTAATTTTCTACTCAATTGCTCTTCCAGCTGCTTATTCTGATGACTGTGATCGAGAAGCACTCCGGAATGTCTGGAATAAATTACTGTTACCAGAAGTTTGTTATTGGTCATACACATTTTTTTGATGGATGTTATTCAGGTTTTTGACAACAAAGAAATGTTGGTTAGTAAGGATGTCTCAAAATGTTCAGGTGTCCTAAATCGTTCATTGGCAGGTTGATCTTTTTATGTTTCCTTATCATCTGATGGAACTTATTCATATATCTTGGAAGTAACCGTGCCTGCGTTAAATATTGATTGTATGAATATTTTCCGACCTATATCCAGATCTTTCCATTATAGTCAACACTTCCATTGCTTGTGCCGTCATTTTATTCATTATTTTAAATGTAATTTTTTTTTTTTTTGGTTCATTGTGTTTATTTATGTGGCAAAGTTTTCCAGATCTTTTCAGGAATCCGTAAGGTCGGCTCATTTCAATTTGTGTACTGTTTTGGTTATGAGTTCGTTGGGTTTTGGTTGTGCGCAATATATGCAGTTTTTGGAAAATTCTTTGAATGATCTTAAAGAAAGTGAAGATCTTTTATTTAGCAATCGAAAACAGGTGTTTTTTTGTTAGCTGATATCAAATAGCGGTCGTTTTTTACGGTTTTCTTTTTATCATCACATTTTTTAATCATCATCTCGATTAAAAAACAATTAACTGAATTTGAACTACAATGGATTTTTTAGTGAACAAATTACAGTTAACTTTGTCCACCTATGAAGATATGTTAATATTAATTATTTTCGACTTGAAAATATTTTAGTTTCATGTATTATTGGAAGCGAATTTGGGTGTGCTTTTGTCACATTGTCAATCGAACCAGAGTGAACTGCTGTTAAATATTCTGGTTACCTTCCATCTGGAGAACAATGACGTAATTTTTCAGAAAATGTTAAAAGTTTTTATTCAAAAAACATTTGGTGGTTAAAAAATTGTTATATAGTGTGGAATACTGATTTCATTTTGCAGCCGAAGTAACTGAATTCCATAAAAAATTAGACATTTCACTGGGCGTTCGTTTCCATTAATGTTCGTTAAAAATTTTCTGAAGTATCATGACGTGGCATTGTTTAGTTTACCTTGTTTGTTGCCAAAGTAATCGTATGAATCTTATTTATTTTTCCAAGTGTCTGTGTTTCCAGTTGTATTTGCTAATCCAGTCGGTATTTCGTTATTCGGGATTAATTGATAATTACGCTTCCAAAGTGCTACAGCCTTTTTTTCGGTGTTTGTTGTTGCGTTTATCATCATTCGCGGACGAAAATTTTCCCCAGCAAGAAGGAAATGTCGGAATATGGATCAGAAAAAGCGTGGTAGAAATCTTGTCGATGTCAAGTAAGAGCTATGAAGATGAATTGAAGTAAGTTTTCTAAACTTCCAGTAATTATTTTCCAACTTCAAATTATGTTGTGTCCGAATCTAGAAATGTCGATCGGCTATCTCGGCTCATGATTAGGGTCTATTTACCTTCAAATATTGAAACGATTTCATTGGGGTTTCATCCTTTCTCACCACTAGCATCTATATATTTGCTCCTTTTGCAATCACATGATTGTTGAAATTAGCACGAAAACAGCAGTTGCTTATGCGAAAGAGAAAGTAAGAATATTAATGAATTCTGTTTTTGACAAGTTCAGTAGGGGGAAGAAGGGTATCAGCATAATTTATCGGAAAATCTGTAACATTTTTGTGCAAATTGTTTTTAATGAAGAGCAATATTTGCATAAGAATTCCAATATTACAGTTCTTGGAAAATGGTAATATCTGCATTCGTTCCGGCTTCACATCTTATGCCGTTGTCTGAAAAAAGATTGTGTCAAATTGTGCAGTCAGTTTGTGGGAAAGGATTTTCACTAAAAACTTTGCCAGTTTCATTGCGAGTGGTATTGTTTTGTGTGTTGATTTCGCTTATTCCTTGTATATCATCGGAAGTATTTGAAATTGTAGTTGAAAGTACTTTGTCGATAATGAGGTTAGTTTTGGGATTTATTCTAAAAGATCATCGAATCTGAGTTGAGGAAAGCAAGAAGCATGTTTTACTGTTTCAGTGTGTTTTTGTTGAAAATTTCAGAAATTATGATTTTATGAGAATTTCATAAGAAAAAAGTTAAGACTTCGTTGTTTTTATCTAATGATTTTAACCAGCGATAACTCCATGATCGTTATTGGTTATCATTTTAGGTCGGATGTGAAATTATTTCGCAGTTTAATAAACAGCTGTAAAGAAAAAACAGTGAAAAAATATATCAAGACTTTACTTCGATGTGGTTGCTTGAATAATAGCTCAAAAAACACGCAAATTCTAGTTAAAGAATTCCTCCTTAGTAGTTGCAGTTGTGACATGCTTGCTCTCAAGGTTCTGTTTTTCTTTGTTTTTAACGAATTTGTAAAAATTTGATCGTAATATTTACCGATTTTCGCAGCTTAAATTTCTGATAAGTCTCCAAACCTAATTAATAATAAGTAATTGGCATACTTTCGAAACTTTATTAAAATTTTAATAAAAAATAAAGGCACTGAAATTACTGTAGTGCCAAAAAGAAAAATTTTTGAGAAGATTGAGGATATGACGTTTCATAATTGGATTATGATGAATGAAATGCAAAAAACATTGGTGGTATATTTTTTTGTAGTGTGATGTTATTTTGAAAGCTGCAGTACAAAAATCCTTAATTGAAGAGCAATATTATTTTTTGAAACCATTGTGTGAGACATTTAATGAAATCCATTACGAAATAAATGCAGGAGAAAATAGAACATTACGAATTGCTACTGAAAAGGTAATCTTACATTCATTTTTGATGTTTAAATCTTTTTAATAAGTGTAAATATAAATCTTAGAGAGACGATGTTTTCTATTTGTTTCTCTTGTGTGGAAATATGTTTTTATAGCAAATCGGCAGAGTCTTTGCGAATTTTACTATACTCGATTAACTGCAGTTAGGTTTTGTTCCTACTTTTCCATTTTTTTTGTAGGTTTTCCAACATATTTATGAACTGATATCTCCTTTCGATTGCATGGATACAAGGAAATCAGCTCTTTTTGAGTTATTTTTGTCAGTGCTATCAGTTGTGAAAATTTTGCAAGATAACGGTACGACAGTAACTGAGAGAGAGATTGAAAATACAGCAGAACATATCAGAATTGCTGATCAGGTAAAACGGAATATCATTATGAATACATCCACCATGCTTTTTCATACAACTTATAAGCTGAAATCCTTTCCATGAACTTGATTAGGATACTGATTTCTTTGATAACTTCTTGAAGTTCAAAAATTCTAATCTCAGTTCGAAAATCAAAACCTATCCAGTTTTGTGAAGGGAATTGTCGTATTTGTTGTGAATTTAGATACAAGCGAGCTGTAAATCAGTTTCAGGTATGCAAAACTCTTTGTAAACATCCAGATAAGCTGATCGAATTTGGAATAATATCAAAGCAGCTGTCGCAGTTGTTGAGAAGATCCATTTTATGGATGGTAAAAAGGGGTAAGCTCGAGCATATTATTTCCTGGAAATATGTTAGATATTTTGAACTATATGATGAATCCACCGTTAACGACATTATCAGTGCTGCATCGATGGAAATGGTTAGTCTGGTTCTCTGTTCAGTTAAATATCTTGTGTTATTAACGTTTTGATTCATTGAATCCTGACTGGTCTTTGAAGTAATCAAATGATTTATTTTGCTACTACCGTTGCAATATTGTCGGAGTCTGATCTTTATTAGTTCCGCGTACTCGCGAGTAACAAATGTTCAAAGTTGTTTAGTAATTTTTTATTCTAGTTAGAAAGCCTGCTACACTCATCTTCACATGATCTTCATGCGTCGGAAAAATTTGCATTATATTTTGCGTTGGCAAAGCATCAAAATGAAGAAAAGAGAAAATTGTTATCCTCTGTGCTCAAAGATGTGCTGGAAGTCATAGTAGATATTGCTGGAACAGACTATCTGACAACTGTCGCTTTTCTACATCATATTCTTCCGGTAGGTTCTTTTGATAGCTGCACTTTGCTGTTTTCCTATCTGTTGTATTTTTTATCTTGTTCAAGTCATACAGTTCGTCAAGTTCTAAAATTAGTTAGTCAATATTCTGATAGCAAATTTGAAAAATTATATTCATACGCTTGAGTATAAATTTGAGTGTAAAAATATAAAAAGAAAAATCGATCTCACCTAGATGTTATGTCATATTTTTTCTATCTATATATGCGTCAAATTACATGGATTAATGATTTTAACTTCTAAACTTCCCAGGTTGCCTCTGGTAGCGCATACGCGAGAGATTACGTATCATTTGCTTTGACAGTTCTTGCAGTAGACTATGAACTGTTATTCTCAGATCCTGCAGCGCTGCGCAGTGCTGTTTCTCTTCTTTTGGTAAGCAGTATAGTTTTAAAGTATTTTTTTTATTAGCACGTTGTCACTAATCTTGCCTTATTATTCATCTCGGTATTATTAATAATAGGTTTTAATCAAAATACCGATTCTAGGTCTGTCTCTCCTGGTTTATTTTTTATGGCCGATTCTGTTTAGTTAACCGTTCATATTCATTAGGAGGGACGCAGTTGTTAGCTTATCATAAGCTGTATCAGTATTAAAGCTTTTGTCTTTTGACCGCAGTAAGCTAGGTCTTAGAATCAGAAGCGAATATTCCCATGGGCCAACATGATTATGAATTGCAGTGGTCTAATTCCAGGCCTTTTCTAGGCTAAGAACTTTTATAAACCCTTTTAGGACGTAAAGAAATTTCTAAGGAAAAAAGATATGATGAATCGAAGCAGTACTTACAGTTTGGGCATCGTATACTAGTTGCAGTGTGAAGGGAAAGAAATTTAAGAATACATAAATGAATTTGATTTTCATTGCATCATAAAAAAGCTATGGACATATGGGCAACGCTCCAGTACATATGAAGAGAATAAGCTATGCAGAAATGTTAAAAAATTTATTCCTAACTGTAAACGTTGTGGTAACATTTGGGTCATTGTGGTTACGGTGCAGATTATTAACATTGAGAAAGTCTGGGTCAGAGTCGAAGACGATAGGGAATGGAATAACTCTGATTAGAAAAGTGTTCGGCAATAATAATACGTCGAAATGAAGATCTGATTTCAGCTACAAAGTGAAAAATAGCTCATTACGCAGTATTGTGCTTAATAGTGTAATATAGGGAAAATAAATCATAGGAAAATGAAAAAGGATTGGATCGAGATGGTGTAGATTAGATTATTTCCAAACTTATTTTTAATACGAATGATGGTCAAGCGTTTATGACTAGAATATTTGCTCTTAATGAAATCTTTTGTTTTTTAGGATTGTCTGCGGTTTGGGACCAATTCTATAATTAATGACCAGTGTTCGTTTTACATGACGTTGTTTGTATGTGTTGGACGAGCTATTCAGAAATATGTAAATGATGCATCAGCAATCAGTCCTCGGTTTATTCGTCACTTATCTTACGGGTTTGCTAAAGTTGCTGGCGAAATGCTGAAATACGAACGATCATTTTCCCGGGTAATTTTTTCGATTACAAATAAATTATTACTGTATTTGTATTTTTTTACTGTGTTTCCTAGTATTTATTTTTTTGTTATGGCAAAAAGCATCATTCTGCACAGTCATTTTTTTCTTTTTTTTTTTGGGATTCAAGTGTTTATGAGCTTAATTAAAACCTAGAATTCAGTGAGTTGTTTTTCGTGAAGAGAAATTGGTCAGAAGTAATTAAATAACAGGGGAGAACTTACAAGAAGGAAAGGGAAATGAGAGGAAGTAGAAGAAAAATATTGCTCTCAGCAATGCACTAAATCACTTATCACCCTTACCAGACATTCAGGGTTGTATTTTTAGAATTTTACTGGGGTTTGCATTTATACCAAGATCCAAATATTAGTGGAGCAGTGTCTCTTAAAAACTCCCTCGTTCTCCCTCCTCACTGACTTTGTATTTGAGGAGTGGGAAAAAAAAAGAGACATCTGATGCCGTTTGTCAAATACACTAATGTTTTTCTAATGGATAACGTTAATTAAGGGAATTATTTTATTAACCCAGGTAATAAACATCAAGAACTATGACTGATCGTTTTGCAAACCATAATTAACAGTATATCAATAATTGTTCTTTTTATCTCTTTCATTTTCCCTACTTTTTGTCTTCTTTTCCTGTCCTTCTAATTGATAGTGTGGGTTAAGGGAATTTAGTGAAGGCCTATCGATTCTGAAACTCCAAGTTTCAAGTCCAGAATGTAGTACTCCCAGTTCGAGATAACCAATGGTTGAGGAAAAGGCGTTCTTTGAAATTTGTACTCTCTTTGAACGAAATAATTGTCTTTTAATAAACGATATTTACTGGAATGTTCAGATGTACTACTGTTTGACCACCGAGAAAGAAAAATGCACAGAACTTCAGGCATGCATTAATTGTTAACTTTAACAAATATTTATGCACTTACTCCTTTAAAATTTTGGTACAAATTATGAATGTAGTGTAGAAGCCGTAGTGCACTATATTTAGCCAAAGCTGTCAAACCTTGATGTTGTTTGCTTCTTATGTGAGAGCTTAATCGATCTTTATCATTTCAGGTAGCACCCTTCATCATTTCGGAATGTCTGGAAGATGCTGAATGCTTATCACTTGCTTTGTTTCGAATTTTCTCAATCTGTGATGGTCATAGTGTCGCTCTCCTCACTACTAATCTACCATTGTTACAAAAAACTCGATTCGCTAATTTAAGTTTATATTTCAAAAAAATCAAAATGGTTGTCTAGTTTCAGGACTATATGCCTCTAATTTAAAAACCATACCCGGAATAATGTAATTCTATCTCCTCTCAAAATTGCTTAAATATTCGATATTAGTGATTGAGACTTGATATTTTTCCCCGTATCTTAAACTACCTTACTGCTATTTTCCCACTTTTTTGGCTTTTGTTCACGAATTTGTAGGTCTACATCTGATTTTTGATTTATTTTTGGAAATTGTTTCGCTCTTATAATTTCAAGGGCATGTATACAGAAAATAAACGAACAAAACACCTGGTTCATTTCTCTGCATTTCATATGATCCCGATATTTGGATCCATTCCTTGAATTTCTTTGGAACAAAGAGAAAGCTTCAGTTTCCCAAATGATAAGATTTATTAACTGAAGCTCTCCATATTGTGTAGTCGAACGAGATGATTAACATTTCATTTCATGTGTTACTTATAAACCGTTAGTATCCTATGCTCATTCAGTATGCATAGAAGATTTGCATCTAATTTGGTCTTTGGAAATAGCGGATTTGAGACATTTGGCAGTGAAGATGCTTGCCTCACTTTATTAGCTAAGGGGAAGCTTTGAGAGTGGGGTGGAGGAAAGCTTTGAAAATTTGAGAAAATGCAGATAGAAATGATTCATATAATTTGAGTTGGTGAGAAGCTTGCATGATTTTTTTGAAAAAATTCTTATAAAACGAAGAATTCTGAAATTCGTATTAATCGTTAGTTAATGTGAAGGACTCATTCGAAGAATCGATTGTTGCGATATAATCGATGTTTGGGAGGGAGCAATCATTCTTGTCAATTTTTTATCAGTATTAAATTTAAAGAAGGAAAATAAGTTCTAGATCATGATTTTTGTTGAGAGCCTTTGTTTCTAGTTTTTAAATGCATTCAAAATCTCTCGAAGATAATGGAAGATTAATGAGAGAGTTATAGTTATTTCGAAAATATCCATAACATGCTTTCCGTTTTTCTGACGAGAAAATGCTTCATATGTTTTACTGTTATTTCAAAATTAAGGCCAGTTGCTCATATTTTTTGCACACTTTGGAATTTGTCAATCATTTGAATTTCTGCAAATAATATGAGAAGAAAATTAATTATTGTGGTAAGTATTAATTTTCGATGTTATAGTAGGAAAATGAGAGAGTATCTCGGAATCTTTTCTTCTCAATTCATTAAGTTTAAAAATTAACAGGATTTGCATTTTTTAAATTACAGTCCAAATTTAGGATTGATACAAGTTTTGCTGCAATATCAAGCATTTTAATTTTTTCTCAAAACATCTCATTACAGATTCTTGGTGTTTTCTACTTGATACATATGGAAAAATGTTTTGCAAGAGGTATGGCATTTGGATATTCGAACTATTTAACAATTAATCGTTCTTTGACAATACATGAATAGAGTCAGAATTCGACCCTTTCTATTTTTAACTTTTTCCTTCCTTTCTTGAAGGACCATATTTAATAAAATTATCATTAATGTAGTGATTAATGAAACGAAAAGTTATTAAGTATGTGCATATTTTAATAAGTGTGTGAAGCGATTATATAAGGCATTAAACTAATTCTTTATTTTGGATTTGTTAACATTAGTTGTCAAGTGAGTAAGAATATCATGAAAGCCTGAATGGGTTGCAGTCTATACGTGTAGAATGTTCTGGTCAACATATCTCGTCATCCATGTCTATTCCGTTGTTTCAACCAAACGATTTTAATAAAAAAATCATCTAAAACGATTTTTGAAATTAATGAATTACGTTTAAATATTTTTAGACTTACTAGATGATTGTGTTTTTAAGAGTACAAACATATATCATAGTTGTCTGCTGGACTTTTAATATTTAACCCTCATATCTGAAACATCAATAATTCATTTCATTTAACTTTTTTTTTACAGTCCAGTGCAAACACACAGAAGTATTAGTCCGTTTGGGGCGCAATGAGAATCATTCAGTACCAATATGCCCATCCATTGTTTCCAGCTCGCATTCGAAATTAGAACCAAAACAGTTGAAGCAAAATGTTATCAGATGTGATGGATTGCTATGCAATAGATGTCGATGTGACGTTAAAATGGGTTATAAGCTATCCAACAATACCAGTCAGGCAGAATGTGTACTGATTTGTCCAAGACATGATTCTAATGGTGAGTGAAGTAGAGTGAAAATTCATCATGTCTTAAACTTGAATGATCCTAACATCTTTTTATTTTTGTTGATGAAAGAAGAGAAGGAAAAAGTTGCAATAGTTTCGAAACTTTTCAGTATTCCGAAATAGAAGGTTAGTTGATTTCATAATTTAAATTATTTGGACTAAATTTCGCATGCTTGCCAAGTTGGATAGTCATAGTTTTTTACAGTGATTGATTGATCATCTTTTTGTTTTTTTGATGAATAAATAAGAAAATAAATAAATGAAATAATATATACATTGTTGGTTATTTTCTGCACTGTAACTATTGGAAGCTTTTTTTTATTTTAGAATTTTAGAATTTAATTTCTTCGCGAGAAAAGGAAATCAGATCATTTGCATAACATTAGCAAAAATTTTTCATTAGCAAAAAGTTTTGCGACTTTTATGAAAAAAGTTAATTTAAGTTTATCGAATTAAAATTAAAATTAACAGTAATTAAACGTGCATATGTATGCGAAATATGTTTAAGTGTCATAAAGGAACTGTGGAAGATTTCCAATTTTCGACTGCAATGATAATACGCTCATTGCTATTATGGATAAGAGGGCCAACCTTTCTTGGTATTAGAAATGTTTACTTACATAAAAAATCAGCTGTTTTATTGTGTTATTTGTGAAATAAAGCTTTCATTTCTGCAATAACAAGGGATAGCATTCACAAAGATTGAAAGAGTATCAGCTGATGTTTTTCTTCTAACTAATTTCCTCTTTTTTTCTTGTAGTGAAGTGGGGCGAATAAACTTTTTCCAAATGTACCCAACAGTGATCCTCTCTATTGAATTCAATAAAATTCTAAGTACCAGCCAAGAGGTAATTTGACTATTGAAGGGTAATATATCTCTAGAAGATAAATTACTCCCAATGTTCTCATTCTTTGGGAAGAAAAAAATTTCTAGTCATGTGGAATTAAAAATGATAAATTAACTGGAATAAAAAACATACGCACAGCTTCGTTTTTTATTTCAAATTATGATCCCTTCCATGGATCAAATCTTTTTCAACTTTGTATGCTCAGTCATTCTCCCAAAATCTGACGGAATGCCAATGGTTTAAAGTTCTCACTTAATGATTTCCTACTGAAATAAGTAGTACTAAAGAGTTCAGTTTATTTTAAAGTACTTGCTGATTTGCATGCCTATTGTAGATGCAGTTAACAAACAATCTGTCTAGTGTGCTTAACCTTAGCTAATCTGCACCACTATTTCCTCCAAGATATCAAGACTGATTGTTTTATTTAACCATACTTTGCTTCAAGCTTGTCGACAACGAGTCTTCTAGCAAAGATGAGAGATCAAGATGAATTCTGTGAAAATAATTCTATATACTTTGAAAAATGTATTTTTTTCAAATTTCGAAAGAAGAAGACGCTATAAAATAATATCAGAAATGGTGCAAAATTACACATCCATTCACATTTGACCGTTTTTTATGACATTTACGGTTATGTTAACTCATCCTAAATCAATGAAATAAATTTTTGAACAGAAATTTAATCATTATACAGAGTTAGGGATAACATGTATGTATTCTGCTTATGCAAATCAAACGCGATAAGTTAACATTTAAAATTGGAAACTCGTTCAGCTTTCAACAGTTCAACTCTTCAAATTCATGATCCAAACAAAGAATAAATTTAAAGAGCCAGGAAACAATCAAAGATAAGGAATGTAAATCCAAAATGCATGATTACTAAATTTAATTATTGATTTGTTTTTATCTAATTTTTACTCCATAGTTCTATAGATTGTTTTGCTTTGCGCAAAAAGATGCAATGGCAAGTTGTTACGGTAAGGAACAACAGTGGTAAGTCGCTACGATAACGAACGATAGTAATAAGTCACTACAGTAGTGAGCAAAGTGCTTTTTTTTTTCTCTTCCATTTAATGAGAGAAAAAAACGACCGAAATGAGTTATTCTGTCTAAAAAGCAAGAGTTGCGAATCGTTAAAATGCAATAAAAATGCTATTAGGAATGGCTAGCGAAGGAAAACTCTTTCTTCAGTTGATTGGACATTCTTAAAGTTTGTTGTGATAATATTTCCGGATAGTTTACTCATCTCAGAACTTTTTCCACTTTTGCTTCTTTCTAGTGAAGAATTCATGAAGCACGAACATATTATCTCAGAGTGTTACGATAAATTCACACCTTTTGCTGCTACTAATAATGTAGTAGAGGAAGAGATAATCGAATGGAATCACTATCTACATTTTCGATATATCCATTGCATCAATTCACATGACAGTGCTCATCAGTCAGTTGGCAACACAAAATTGTGGCAGATGCTGCACAAACAACTGATTCAAAAATAAAGTTTTTAATAGTTTGAAAAAAAATAACAGACACTAAATGCTTTCATAAAATATATTATTCATTCAAAATCTGCTCCATTTTGGAATGATCTTCCTTCTGCAATAGCAAAAATATCTGTAAAAGGACATTTGGATATGGATTTCTTCTATCAATTAGCTTGCTCCTAGCATTTAGGAGTATATAATGATGTAAGCCAAACACTAATTTGATGACATTAGTCCATTTCTTTGAAATATGAGGCTGTTAGTCTGAATCATACGCTAATAGTTTATTTAATTAGTTTCGTATATTTTAACAATTTCATGAAATTCGTCACATTACCTCCCTCTAATTGCTAGATCATCTTTGCAATTGTCTCGATAATGATGATCAGTGTCTTTGATAATATAATAATGTGAAATGATGATGTATTGGTCATGTGGAGAAAAATGCTTTCAATGGAGGCAGTAAAAGTAGCTGGAAAAGTTTAAATTCCATGACTGTTGACAAAGAAATGCTAAAGAATGCTTTCGCAAAAATTTCAACAGCTTGTCGAATTTTAAATTTTGAAAATGTTAAAAATAAGCAGGCATATTTTTACATAGCACATTGAACATTTCACCAATAGTTCAAGAAATGCTTTTCACAAATCATCTTTAGAAAAGAACATGAAGAAAATTTATATGGAGGAGAAAAACTGGCTTTGTTTGTCTTTTTTTATTACTGGTAAGGCATTTCAACCATTAATTTTGACAGTCGGAAAAATGAGCAGTAATTCTAAGATAATAACAATAAACAAAAACCCTATACTTTATTAGTCTTACGCGCAATGAGTCATGGTAGTGAATAAGCACATGAAAGAAAATGAAGCAACTTTTGGAATGAATTAAAATATTTGCAGAAAAAAAAAAACCGACTAGCCAATTCTGATCATTCGCAATGTTTGCTTAATTTGCTCTTCCATCATTAGGTTTAGTTAAATAGCACTCTTTGACAAGTGTCAGCATATTTTCTTTTTTCCAAAAACAATATGTGAATTATGTGATATACAATAAAGATGCTAAAATTAACCCTTTCAATCAAACTTATTAACTTAAATGAACTCTGGAGCTTCATATTTACCAAGGAAACGGTTTCAGTCTTGAAAAATATACAAAGTTATTTAGCATCACTTTCGAATACATTGATTCGGTTTTGTCTTAAATCAAAAAAGAAACAGTTGTTGATTCATATCCTTTCAATTGTATTTGATTCACTGCACAACTATTTCCTCTAAACTATATCACTCCGACCGTTCATTAAGTTATTTTTTTCCGCAATTTACGGTAACACAAAGAAACGTCAATCATAAAAATCAATATTCAGCAGGAAAAGTTAAAATAAATCAAATGCAATAGTGAGATTCAACTAATCCAATGCATTTATATTTCATAAAGCTTTATGGGTCGAAGTTGAATCATATTTTTGCTGTGCGACGTTTAGTTGATGCCTTGGTCCCATGCCCCACTGAAAAAAATAAGAATTTTAGTAAAGAATTAATCTAAATTGACGTTTTCAAAACTTAATCAATAAAATTTGAAACAATAGGAAGTGAAGATGGATTCTGAAGATTACGCTTATAAGGCTTATGAAATGCTCCTGAAATGATACAATCTTATTCGGAGCTAATCTCAATATTTAGATTTGCTGATCTTTTTCTGGTCAGTAAATACAGCAGTATGAATACATCAATTTATTAGTTTTTCAAATATTAATGCTACCGAAGAGAGATGCAGGAAAGTTTAAAGTAGCTAATTTTTCCGGAAACCTGCAGTAAATCAAAAACAGCAGTGCTGCTACTGATAAAATGAATTGTCTCTTTGGGTACGCATGACAAAAGTATTTCGAACTTCCAAACTATCAGGAACAATAACGGACAAGCGCTAAATGATTGCGAAAAGATCATAGGTAAGCGATGAAAACAGCAATTCAAGGAAAATATAACTCCAAAAAAAAGCCATCGTTTCCTAATAGTGAAATCAAGTCAAGACCGTGAATTCTCAATACTTAGTCCAATAAACATTCTCGTGGACAAAATCCAGTTATAATAATCTGCGAGATGGAGATAGTACTTTTTCTTGGACTGTCTTCAAAGTCGAATCTCCTTTCTAAAAGCTTCCAGGTCTCTTTTTCTGAATAAGACTAAAAATTTCCTGTCAATCAGTGATGAGTCATTTACCAAAGGAATAAAATCGAAGGATTGATTACTTTTCGTGGGAAAATTTGATTTTGAAATAAGAATTCAAGAAACATTTGCAAACATTCCTACTCAATTAATTTATTTGATTTGACTCACTAAAAAGAGAAATATTTCTGCCAATGGATTCAATAGATACTGAGAATTGTATATTTTTGATAGGAGTTTGTTTGTCAGCACGGATTTTTACTGTTAAGTATTTTTATTATTATGAAGAAAAGGGATAGCAATTAAAAGATTTCGGCTTCTGAGAGTTACACAGATAATTCGACATGGAGCATTGGTGATATTTTCTCTAAGGGACTTTTAGATGGCAACGAAACATGAAGCGACGATGTAACTGAATTTCTGAACTAAATAAATGTAAACATTATCATTAGTTCCATTCATCCTCAGTCAGCGATTCTTTTAAATTAATTTACAATTCACAAACCTTAGCAAAAACAGTTTTGTCATCCGTTTCAGACACACAACACCACAAAATACACGTTACCGAGATTATAAATATTATGGAGAAGAAGGAAATCCACACTGCAATTGGTCCAAGATAGTCTAACATATCCAACTGTTGTTTCAAGTCAACCATTCCTGAAAATAACGGACAAATAGCTACCGGTCTCCTTTCAGTTATTATCTTAAGCATTTAAAAGCAGGAACACTTGATTTCAATTCAAATAGTTCTAAATTAAATTATTGTTGATAAAATTTTCCGGAATCCTAAATACGAAATTTCCCCTGTGCAGTATTGACGGTCTCATATGACGGAAATTTTAACTACAGGATCCAAAAAAGAAAAAAGAGAGTATAGGAGCGTATAGAGTCCATTGAAAAAAGTTCTAAAAAATTTTAGAGAATGCGATATAGCTTGAAAGCACTATTGTCAACGGTGGATGGCCAGCAGCATCGAAGAGAGCAATAACATCAACTGTGCGGTAGTAGCTTGAAGTGAATCAATACTTTAAAAATAGCTAGCTAGTTAGCTAGAGTTTGGTGTGGCGAAGTGACGAAGGGAGAATCTTCTTCATATATACATAAAGATAAATAGTATTATAGTCTTGGTAAAACTTCACACTTAGCTATATTCTTCTGAAATTCTCTCTGAAATTGGAAATTGAAGTTGAAATCAAATTGATTTATTCATAAAAAAAACATAGGCAAAACAGAAGTGTTAACTAAAATTGTTTAATATCGAAAACAGATGATATAAATTTTTGTTTAACAGTTAGAAATTACTTAGAAATTGAAGCATTCAATTGCACTTCATATCTATTGACTTATGGCACAATGGAAGTACAAAATGAAAATCGAATATTTGTAATGGCTTTTTTGATAAACTAATTTATTTATATCAAAGTGTAATATTTGATTTCTGTAAGTTTGCACGACCGAAGTACTTAAAATGGAGCAAAAGAAAAAATTTTCTTGCTAAATGTGCATTTAGCAAGAAAAAAAGAAAGGTGTGGCTGATAAAAGCATTACACAAAATAGTAAAGGCAAGGAAAAGCTGAAAGAGCGCTTACGTAAGTTTTCTAACTAATAGTACTATTTATATCATTAAATATTGAATTTAAATTTAAACTTTAGCATAGTCAATTTCTTAGTTATAACTTCTATTAACGAATAAAATTTGTTTATTTGTACTAATAAATATTAGTCTTGGACTAATATTCAATAGTACTTGAAGTTCAATATTCGGTTGCATTTTCAATGGTAGATTTTCTGTATAACTGAAGAATAAATCGAGAATTATTCATTACAGCTTAGGAGAGTTTAATGAAACAATGATCATTACAAATTAAATATTAAATTCTACTCACAGGAATGAACTGGAACGAAATTTCGAATCTTACTTTAAATGAACTGCTAGAGAACTGTGTATTGCCCTCAAATGCATTTCATTGCTTTTCCACTCCATGAAAATTTTTGTTGAAAACTTCAAATTTATTAAGTTTTTTCTTTTGTTCATTTATATGCTTTCTGAATTTAATGGATTGAATCAGTCAAAATGCTTGAGGCACTACAATCAATCATTAATAAGACTATGAATCCAAAGATTCTAATGTTTAACCTTACTTTTCAGTCTATTACAAACAAGCTAGTAAAACCAAAATTTTTATAAGGAATAAAGTGATCGATCGGTTTTAGACTTTTCTTTATTTAAAAATTTTTGAAGGATTTCAATTTTTTTCCAGAAGCAATTAGAATTTTCGTCGTGATGACATTTACTGATAAGTTATGTCCTGCGCCATTTAACAACAGTGGTATTTTTTTATGTAAAAATCAATTCATTTCACTTGCAGCGTTCTCCCTCAGAGTTAAAATTTTCTGAAGGAACTAGGAATATCTTCCTCGAATGAACAGAAGAAGACATGTTTTGTCAGTTAGTTTGGAAATTGTCAACTGAAATATGAAATGGACGAAATTCAATCGCTTGACAACTGATAGTGAGAATATAGGCCTATCTTACAGGCTTGTGTACTTGTGATTAAAACTAGAATACCCCCACATGGGCGTGTTTTCAGTGCGATTATCCAAATTCAGATTATGTATTTTCAGCTGTCTTATCTTGCTTCCAATATGCTAAATAAATGTTACTGTAACCGATTTTAAGAAGTGATTTAAGAAGTGACTTCCGATAATTTTAATAAATTTATTATTTTTTCGAAGGAAATTAAGTAAAGAATTCAATGATCAAGAAAGCGCAGCTTCCCATTATTGGCGCTAAAAGAGAGCTCTACTTCATCACACTAGATGATTGCTTTTCAATTCATTGCTTAAAAATGATGAGCTATTTTAATTGATCGAAGTTATTCATCTCTCAAGCTGTGTAATTTAAAACAGACAAGTCATAACAATTTATGATTTCTTCTCAACTTAATATCTGATTGCATATATCATAGACTTGAAACATGCACTTCTTTTTTTCTGTCTTTTTACGGTGAATCTTTTTTTAACATAAGAAATTTGGGGGTATTGGAAAGCTGTGTTGCACGTTAAAACTTGATTTTAATTTTAAAGTGATAAGCTTGAAGCTGATAAACATTAGATACTGAACTAATTACGCAATCCATTTATGCATTGCTATTTCAAAGCAATGGGAAGCGTTCATGTTTCAGCAATTGTCACAAGCTGATTTTCTCGCAATACATTGCTATAGCTCGTAGATTCCGTTATCAGCAGTGCATAAAATGACATGATATGCAAAGTAAGAATGACTGGATTGGAATATTTCTTTCAGTGATCGATTCTTCAGGAACATCTTCCATTCCAAAAGCGATACAACATAATAAATTCAAAATGAAAGTTGACATTCAAAAACGGGGAGAATTCGTTTTCTTCCATTTGTCTTAGCATTGCTTCATTTTCACCGGAATTCACTGCTATTTTCTATTTTCGTTCCATTTCTTTAATTTCTTCTTGCTATAGAATTGATGACACAATTTTTTTTTATCCTGAAATCCCAGTTCAAATTTTTTATAATAACATAGAAAAAAGATGAAAGGTGGTTGTAGTTTCCTTTTTGTACGGAGATTTCTTTTATAATATCTAATGTACTTTTAAAGAGATGGAGCTGACTATGACTCTATTAATGCGTAATGCCTCCAGGATAGAATTGTGGGTCTTAAGCCAAAATAATCCCAGTTATCTACTTCGATTTATTGCAAAACCATTTCAATTTACTAACAACACATGGCCAGATATCATTTTGAAATAAATTGACAGAAATTTTATATATTTTTAAAAAGTCTTCCTACATTTGCTATAGAAACTTGTTAAACAATGAATCCATCAGTAAAAATTACATAATTGAAAATCCAATGATTAAAAGACATTATATGATAAAAATGGTATGGAAAATAATCACAGATGCTTAGACAATCACTGTTACGAAAATGGGTTTATATCACAGCTGATCAATGATTAGTACTGCTTCGCTTACCTAAAAAGATGATCGCTATGAAGTCGCATCTGCACTGCCATCTTCATAAAACTGTAATGAGTTCAGTGTATGCTGAAATTCAAGTTTCAAGAAACATAAATAAGGAATACTAAAAACGGTTCCGAAGCCTTCTCGAATATTCAAAAAATTCTAATTGATGGCTTCATTCTTCAACCAGGAAAAATTTGAAGAAAAGCATAACAAAATATCCGCCATCCAAATTCCATTTCAACTTCTTAAAAGAAATTCAAACTTCGACATAAGTTAAGCACCATAAAAGTGAGGAAAAATTTTACCAAAAAGAAAATATGAAATCCGGTCCAACAAACAAACACCAGTATTGTTAGATGGAATTTTAATGGAAGCCTTTCCGATGGAAAACTTCTATGACCCAGCAAAAATTAAACAGAGGAATCAATATTTTCCCGTGTCAATGCAGGCTCCCTATGAATTACCGACTTTATCAAGATATGTCCAGGGCAAGACTACTATATATCCGACAAAGTGGTGAAGTTAAATTTAGAAGTATCGAGTTCCAAAAAAAAGAAAAAGAAAAAATACACCACCGAATAGAAATGGCATTTTAGGGAAATTTATTTATTGAAACCCGTAGTCCACCTGAATACATAATATTTAGTAATATTGGCCCCTACTTAATGTACGAAACACAGAAAAAGAGTTGACAAATAGAATTACAAATTAAAACTAACTGCAAGGAAAAACTGGACACGACTGGTATAAGAGAATGGAAAGTAAGAAAGGAAAAAGAACTGATTAATAAACCGCAAAAGATGTATTCGCCGAAAAATTACGTCACAATTTTCAACCAGTGTTTGTAGTTTCAAGTTAGGAATAATTTTTACGTTAAGTCATAAATTTAAAAAACATAAAAAGGTTTCAAATTGTTTGATGGATTCAAAAAAATGAGGCTAAAAAACTGACTTCATATTCACATCCTAATTTTTGATTTCACTAAATTTATCTTGTAAGTAATATAAGTAACAGTCCAAGCAGTCTAACAGAAATTTTGAAACAATCAAATAAATTGAGAAGTTAGGAAAATTATTGAAGTGAAAAATACTGGAAAGCATCGGTGATATCCTTGACCAATATAGAGTCTGTCACTTGTGTCTATATCCAGTAACAAAAAATAATTAGTATTGACAGTGTTGATTCAGAATATCATCACATCTCAAGCTGTAACTAATTATGACTGCCTTTCATTCAATTATTTTCACTTTCATAATCTTCATAGTAGAACCACTGAATCTTCCTTGGAAATGTTTGGCCTTTAAAACAAAAACTCAAAAATTACTAAAATTATTCGCTTTAGATCTGCATATGCTTTTGAAGAATTAGGCTACTAGATGAAAATTAATAGCTAGAAAGGAAAATTAATAAATTTTTGGTTCTGTCCTCAGCCCTCTCTAAGCTAACTCACAATCAACCATTCTATCAAAAAAGCACATCGACAACTAAACCAGTGACAAAGATAGTCGCATTTACGTTCGAATACTTCTAAATGTACTAATATTTGAAATTTTCAAAATGAAATTTCCATAAGCATGTATCAGTCACGAGCAGATTTTCGCTTCCTCAATATTAATATCGAATACTTAGCAATCTGAAGGCGAATTAGACAACCAGTGTTCCGAA